TGTTGTTTCTAGTGTCTGTGTTGTTGTTTGTGTTGTTGTTGTATAAGTTGTTGCTGTTGATGTTGTTGTATAAGTTGTTGTTTGTGTTGTTGTTGTTGTTGTTGTATAAGTTGTTGTTGTTTGTGTTCTTGTATAAGTTGTTGCTGTTGATGTTGTTGTTGTTGTATAAGGTGTTTGTAACTGTGTTAGTTGAGATGATAAAATTTTCTTTCATTTCTTTGGGGCGTTGATCAAACTCCGACAGGTGAAACTGATCACATTGGTCATATTGTGGCTGTTGATGATGAACATGTTGTTGTTTTTGTTGTTGTTGGTGCTGTGGCACGACACTAGCAAGCCTTCCACAGTTCTTTGTTATGGATCTCTCCGAATTTATTTCTTCTTCTACTGTCCTCTTGTCAAAACCCTGGCTCAGATCTCTGTATACGCTGTTGCTGTTGTTGTCTTTAGTACCAGAGGCAAGTGTAGATGATGATGAAGAAGATGCTGAGGGGCATGGTGGCGATTGAAATGATGATGATGACCGATAGGATGTTGGCAATGTGGTGTCATCATTTTTACGAAGTTTTATCGATTCGATAGAAGTTACGTAATTTTTCGTCGGAGTGTTGTCGTTTTTGTTGACGCTGTTGTTGTAATTGTTGTTGCTGTTGTTGATGATGTTGTTGTTGTTGATAATGTTGTTGTTGTTGATGTTGTTGTTGTTGTCATCTCTTCTTGACATCAACATTACAGGAGAATGTATGGAGACGCCTGGAGAGTTGATGTCATCTCTGTCGCTTTCCAGAGAACCAGTCTCGTAAGAAGCAGAGTTCGAAAGTTGTTCGACATCGAATGTGAATTCTATCGGCTTGCCTGGAGATAGATCCTCTAGATATTCCGGTTTCCTAACAACCGATGTTAATGTCCCATTCCTGCTGAATGTAATGATTCTCGGTGATGTAACATTATTATCGCTATCGGAATTATTCGATCCGTCGATTAAAGAACTCGGCCGGTTAAAAGTACCGAAACACGGCAAACGCCTTTGTGTGGTGCTGGTTCTTGCAGTAGATGGCTTTAAAAACGAACCGATTGGACCGTTATAAACCGGTCGGTAACTTTTACTAACGGTTTGAATATTCGATTTAGGCTGCAGTGCTTTCGGTAGCGGTTTGACGCCGACAATTGTGGGCATGTTTTCAATTATCTGTGAGTTATTAGCTGAAGATAGTGAGGCATATGAAGAGCGCGGAGATGGACTATTATCCAAGAGAACCGGGTTCGATTCCTTGTAGAAACTTCGTGGTAGGGTTGATATCTTTCTTTTGTTATCCATTACGCGTCGAAAGGTTCTTTATTAAATAAACTTTTTTACAACACGGTATCTAGCTAAACTGGAATTATTAATGAATATCCTCGTTTATTAATGAAATTCGAATGTTTATAATAATTTAATTAATGACAAAAAATAAAATATAAATATTTGAGTGTGTGTTTATTATTAACCAGTAATTTTACTGATTACATGACATATAACAACTACAGCATAAGAAAAATCGAGATATATATATATTTATATTTATTTATTTAGTTATAATTTTTGATAAATCATACAATAAATTCGTATTAAAACAAAATATAAAATAATTAATAGGTTACGACAAAAGAAATACAGCTGAATAGCTAACAAAAGGCACATTAAAGATACATACACACGTAAAAACAATGCTAACTTAACCTGGTATATATCACCGCTACAACAATGATACTATCAAAACAGAATTTATTCATTCACATTCTTTCATTCATTTATTTATACAATTCAGTCAGCTACGAATAACTCTGTTGTTGAATGTAGGCATTTTAAGCCCATTCTAACTGTCAAATAGACACTTACATAAGGATATATGATACACATGATATGTATCATTTGTGTTCCTGTGTATAAATATGTGTATGGGTGTACGTACGTGTATGTTTGTATCTGCGTGTATATATTTATATAAATATGTGTGTGTGTGTTTGTTTGTTTGTGTGTGTGTGTAGTATAATTGATTAATTAGCCAATTAAATAAATAAATAATTGATTACCTCAACTCTTATTAATTTGGAATTTTTATTAATTAAAGACTTTTACTAAAATAATTCGAAGCACCGGCTGACTTGCGTGATTTACTTACATCCAGGCATAATCAATAACAACAACAATAATAATACTACTACTACTACTAATAATAATAATTATAATAATTATAAATTAATAATAATAAATTAATAATAGGAATAATAATTATAAAATGGGACTGGAAAAGTCACGGTGACATTCATTTTATCATATTAAAAGTAAATCACCGATATGGAAAAAATCTACAATATTACAGGTGTGATTGGTAGTGAACTAGGTTTGATAATGTAATATCATCATTATTGTCATGTGTGTGTTTGTGTGTGTATACCCATACATACACACACACACACACACACACACACACACACAAGCACATACATACTGCACGTACGAAGTATAGTGTACACTTGTGATATGATGTGATGTCAATTTGAAGTTTGGTATTCCAAGTATGAGGCTTGCTATTATTTTTTGCATATTATTATCATTATTTGTAGTAGTAAGTAATAGTAGTAGAAGCAGTAGCAGTAGTAGCAGCAGTAAAAGTAGTTGTCGTAATCGTCGCAGCGCTACTACCGTTACTACCACAGTAAATGACGCCGTTGTTAATAAAAATGCAAACAAAGCTACAAATAAACATACTGACAAACGAACGAACATGCAAACAGACGGACAGACAGACAAACAGAAACATACAAAAGAAAATATGAAAGTTGAAACATACACAATCGTCAAATAGATGTTCTTCAATTCTTATCTAAACGATCTTCAAAAAAGACAATCCACTCCAATAACGACTGAACATTCACAAATCTCAACTCACCTGACATACCCTTTCTTGCATTGAAATAAAATCACCGCGCGGCACCCACACACACACACACACACACACACACACACACACACACACACACACACACACACACACTCACACACACATAAATACACACACACAAACAAACACACACACGTATATTTTTATTATTTTGACAAGTTCTCTTCTAAATAAACTGCAATATACTGTAATATCTTGTATGCACTGTATATAATTAACTACATTCTTACGTTGTACGAACGCATATATCAAACCATCCGATTATACACACACACATATACAATCACACATACATACACAATCACACACACACAATCACATACACAATCACACACACATGCGTGCGTGCGTGTTCCCATATACACATACACTCACATGCACCTGAACAATATAAACATTTGATATATTAATTATACAACGAGCAGAATCACGCACACACACATACATTCACACATACCCACACATATACCCACACACATTCACACATACCCACACACATACCCACACAAATTCACACATACACACATTCACACACATATATAATTAAACAATAAACTGCCCTAAACTAATTAACGATATTTTATAATCCGACTAGCATAGATTAACGGGATTAAAATTATGATTAAGATGAGTTTATTTTTCAAAATAAATATAGTTATACTAACAATATTAATCAAATTATTATTGATAATAAGGCTGACGATGATGGCGATGATGATGAGGAAGGATGTTGATGATGAGGAGGACAATGATGAGGATGGCTATATATGACAAACAAAAAGTGAAGGTTATGTAGTTAATTATGAATGGGAAACTGTTCCATATTTGTTATTATTTTGGCGTTTAGTATTTCTCTTTCTATCTATCTATCTATCTGTCTGTCTGTCTGTCTGTCTATCTATCTGTAAATTGAATATAGGTAAGTTAGGAACTGAGCTGAGCCAATTGAACATAGGCAAGTCAGGGACTGAGCTGAGCCAATTGAACATAGGCAAGTCAGGGACTGAGCTGAGCCAATTGAACATAGGCAAGTCAGGGACTGAGCTGAGCCAATTGAACATAGGCAAGTCAGGGACTGAGCTGAGCCAATTGAACATAGGCAAGTCAGGGACTGAGCTGAGCCAATTGAACATAGGTATGTTAGAAATGAATTAATGTATATGGCTCAGCTACATGCTAACGTGCTCACATACATAAACAAACACATACATATTCACATTCATGATGTTTTTGATTCAACGAAAACAAATCAAAGAAACCGACCTTGACATTTTAAAAATATTTCTCAAGATATTATCACAAAACTAACTAAATAAATAGATATATTTACTTATTGTACATATTTATATTGCAAAAAAAGGCCCTTTCTACTGAGGTTAAAGTAAGGTGTGATCTCAAATTAATTTGATGGCTCTCAGCCAATTGAATATAGGTATGTTAGGAACTGAGCTGAGTCAATGAACATAGGTAAGTTAGTGAGCTCTTCATCCATCATTTTTTATGAAATGAAGATTATTGAAATAAAAATGTTTATTTTATCAAATAACAACGTCTTTTTACGTGAAGACAACTTATTTATAATTTATTCAGTATCTGGCTGATGTCGTGAGGCAGATGTACATCCTTCCATGCATGCCAAATGCACGCTTAATTAAGAAATTTTTTCAACTCACCCAACGTACATTTAAACCGAATGATATCAAAACTAATATACTATAAATTCATTTTCAAATGTTATTCAATCACGTCAACACAGCACACTTCATTCATTCCTTGCATGGAGTAAGTCAATTATCTGATTTTCGAACTTGCTCTCCAGACATTCAAAGCATCATCGTCAAGATAGTTGGATGCAGCAAAATACTTGGGCAGGTATCTTCTGCTGCTGTTCAATCGCTTCTTCAACTTCTTTGAATGTTCCTTTCTAATTCTCTCTTGTGCCATTTTCTTCGCGAGTTGCTTGTGCTCTGTTTTGTTGGCATCGTCGGTATCCGACTGAAAGCCGCTAAAACTTATAAGGAAACCGACTTCTACTTGATCGGATTTGAGATCATCGATAGGCGAGTTTGACTTCATCGGACCTGGTGAGACTGCTGCATTTACCGGTTGTACTTTTGGTCTCGGCGATGGTTCAAATTTTTCGCCGTAGTAGAAACCGAACTTAAAGGTGCCGAACTTGTTAGCATCGCTGTCGTTTGACTTGTGGCTGATGTTTTGGTGGTGCTTGTGGTTGCTTCTCAGAAAAGAGTTCCTGAAGATTCTCTCACGCTTTCTATGTTCCGATAGTAAGTTGTTGAATAAGTCTTGAAAGAGTCTAAAACTGGCTAGATGGTCACCAGATGAAAATTTGTTTAAATTTAGTGTCAAAATTTTTTGACTGTCATTTTTGGCGTCCTTGCTAGCAACAGTGAGATTGTGTGTTAAATTGTTAGCAACCGTTTTCGGAGAACTCATTTCTTGCAAGACTGTCACCGTGCCGTTGACATTAGTTTTAGTTTCTCTCTTGCCAAAACCATGATTTCTTGACATCAAATCATCAAAATCTAAATCAGAGATGAATCTTTTAGGTCTCTGGCTGTGCTTCTTACGAAACGAATCTTCGTCGTCCTGCTTGTGTTTTAAAGTATTTATTTGCGACTGTCGACGTTTGAAGTTCAAATTCATCATCCCTCTCTTTACAAGTACGTTGTTAGAGGCGTACGCGGAGGCAGACAAAAAATTATTTGGAGCTGGTTTATAAAACTCCAAGGTTTGATCAGGATTGTGTCCAGGGTTTCCATTTGTCTTGTCGACAAAAATGACAAAAGCAAGAACGAATAACGACATTCTCAGCCTTTTATCAAATTAAATCAAATTAATTTCACAGTTTTTAACGTCATATCATTGTTTATCATAACATTTAGTTGCCTCACGACGTGAGCATGAAAATTAGAGCATGCTTAATTCTACATAAAATGCATGAAAATAAAAGTTGAATTTGATAAATTTTGTAATAAGTTTATGAAACAGAAAAAAAATTGTCATGTAAAATTTCATTTTAATCATGTTAAAAACAAATTATTAGTATAGATAAAAGTCTCGAAGTAAAATCAAATTATAAACGGATAGATAATCTTCTTGTTATGTTTATGGAATTAAGTTCACCTACGGCTACGCCAATCGGTCAAAATTTGTGGTCTAACATCTTTTCTAAATTGTGATCAAAGTTAGTTAAAACATCTTTTCTAAATTGTGATCAAAGTTAGTTAAAAACATTAAATTTCATCATCAGAATTATTAAAATTTTTAAAAAATTATTTAAATTTTTTGAAATTAATTTCACGAAAACTATTTCATAGAAATGGTACAACCACACAATGTTGCCCTGTTCTGTGGAATAGCTTCCATTTTCAGTGCCACCCTGTATTATTTGTTAAAGAAGCCAGAATCCCTGAAATTAGGGAAAGACAAAAAATGTTGGCAGACAGTTTTTTCATTTAAACATAAATTATTACAATCTTTTTAAATTTAAAATCTTACAAACAAAATATAAATACAATTTAATATAATATACTCTGTGGTGTATATAGTGTAGTGTAATTGTAATCTGTACTAATCGGAGTGTAATCGGAAATCAGGTAATGAATCATGATGTATAAAAAGTATAAGTAATTTTAATCGCTCTATCAGATTCTATCATTAAACTAAAATGTTATAATATGTTTTAAAAATTCTTATTGCTTATGGATGGCCAGACCATAGAAAAGTATCAATATAGATTAGACTATAGATAGAGCTAGGAGATAGTCTCTAATTTTTTATTTAAATTATTTACAATTACATGAATAGTTACTTATTATGGCATGAATAATTGTGTGTAATTTCAAAGTAATATTAATTTGTTTCTATTCTAGCGCCGTGTCCGGGACTCATGAATTTAGGAAACACCTGCTTTTTGAACTCCATCTTGCAGGCACTCTCTCCATGCAAATTGTTTGTGGACTGGCTGGAGTTCATCCTTGATCATTCTACATACATGAATAAAAATTCTTTGGTGTTTGAGGTTTATGCCACGTTGAAAAGTAAGATTTTTGTTTTAAATTTTTTTCTTATCTATGTGTATATATATTAGGATGTTGGAGGATGTTTGAGCGCAGTTACGGCTAGAGTTCGTGTGGGAATGGTTGAATTTTAGGGACTGGGTGGGGGTATTGTGTGGAAAGAAATGGTCAGTGAAGATGAAAAGGAGGGTATATAAAGCATGTGTGAGAGCAGCGATGATATATGGTGGTGAAACTTGGGTGTTGAGGAGAGAGGAGGAAAGTGTACTGCAGAGGGCTGAAAGAGCTATGGTGAGGATGATGTGTGGGGTTAAAGTGAAGGATAGGAGGAGTAGTACAGAGCTGATGTCAATGATCGGACTGAATGAGGACATTGTGACATTGATAAGGAGATCGAGATTGCGGTGGTATGGACATGTGTTGAGAAGGGATGAAAGGGTCGGGATTAGGCGAGCGTTGGAGTTCGAGGTTGAAGGAGTGGTAGGAAGGGGTCGTCCGCGGTTGGGATGGAGAGAGCAGGTGGAGAAGGACAGGGTGAAAGCGGGGTTGCGTGATACTGAGGCGAGTGACAGATGTGGATGGAGTCGAGGGGTATTTCGGTTTCATCATAGGTAGCCAAACGGCAACCCCCGATCTCGGGGAAAATGCCGTCTAAACGTGTGTTGTTGTTGTTGTTGTTGTTGTATGTGTATATATATTTTTAGTTATTTCAAAATTTTAAATGTAAAGTTAAACTTTTCCTATTCACAATGAAAAACTATATAATAATTTTCATAATTTCAAATCAATATAATAATAAATATCAATTAAAATATATTATAATTATTTCTCTGCAGTCTTAAACAACGAAAGCATTGAGCATACAGAAGACTACAACCCTAAACCCGTATTGAATAAACTGGCCAGTAAGGGATGGGTCATTTCTAATGGCGAACATGTTAGTACAGTACATGTTAAAATTATGAATAAATTATTGTTACAGTTATGAATAAATTATGATAATAATAATAATTATCATTTTTATTCGACAGGATGCCAGTGAATTGTTCCACGTTCTTATGGAAAGTTTAAACGAGGAACTCATCGTTAATCCTTCTACTATTTCTCTGTTTGATATATCAACATTAGAGGTTTATTATTATTATTATTATTATTTTATTCTTCTCTTTATAATAATAATAATAATATTATTAATATTGTTATAGTTATAATATTGTCATAATTTTTGGTTTGGGCACAGAAATTTAGGTGCTTGTTGCCAGATGAGGCAGTGAACAATATTAGCACAAGTCTGCCAAAATTAAATTCATCATCACCATTACCGTCCTCATCATCGTCATCATCACCGTCATTTTCATCATCGTCGTCGTTACCGCCATTTTTCGGCCGTCTTGCCAGTCAGCTTATCTGCAAATACTGCGGATCTAGAGTTAGTATTGCCTGCAAGTATGTTCATACATTCAAACAAACACACACACACATACATACATACATTCAAACAAACACACACACGCATACAAATACACACATACATTCAAACAAACACACACAGAAACATATATACATAAATATGTTTTTTATCATTGAGATAGTTTATTATTTAATAATTAAAATGTTCATTTAACAGAACCCAATGAGTTATCAGACTTTCTGCTGTCTTTCCTTGCCTCTGCCTCCTAATAAATATGTTTGTTGTCTAATTGTTATTATCTACTGTTATTATTCATTTACATTTTGTTGATGTCTTGATAGCTTCTTAGTTTCTTTGCTTTATTAGCACTTAACTTTTGGACTTTTCTAAGTGTAATTCGGTAAATTTGTTTTAAAAAATTTTCATTTGCTTATAAACGTATTTATATTTATTCTATTTTCTTTATTTCTCTCACTTTTATCTCTCTCTCTCTCTCTCTCTTTTTATTCTCTTTCTCTCTTTTGTTCATTCTCTATCTCACTCTCTCCATCTCCAGGGATTGACGACGTTGGAGTTGTTGCTAAAGAATTATTTGCAGTCTGAGAATATTGACGAAGCCATGTGTGAGAAGTGCAAAGTTAAGAGGCCATTCATTAAAAGAACTACAATTGGGAAGGTTTCCAGATGTCAACTTTCATTTTGAATAATAATTTCATCATTCGTTTGTTTCTTCATTTATTCATTCGTTCGGTCATTCATTCTTTCGTTCATTCATTCTTTCGTTCATTCATTCATTCATATTCATTTGTTTCTTCATGCATCTAATCATTCATTCATTCGTTTGTTCATTTAACCATTCAAATAAATTGTTTCCTTTCTTTCTCTCTCCTCTCTCTTTTCTCTCTCTCTCACTCTCTCTCTCTTTTCTCTCTCTCTCACTCTCTCTCTCACCACATAGCTTCCGCATTCACTGTGCATCCACTTGCAACGTACAACGTGGTCATCCGTTGGGGCCTACAAAAGAATGGATCAAGTAACTATCCCTGATCACATCGACCTGGGCCAATATTTATGGAGAGGTACTTGTGGTTTTTCAGGTGCCGGCGGTATCATTAGTGAAGCCGTTGGTCTTGGGGGGCTGTCCTTACTGGGACCTAAAATCAGGGATGTGCAAAAGGTTGGGCTGCTGGGTGGGAAGTTGAAAGAGGAAAAAATGGATGAAGAATCAGTCGCTGTTGTCGGTGGTGACTCTGGAGACGGAGATGGAGATAAGTTAGTTGTTGTTTTTGTGTGTGTTTGTGTATGTGTGTAGATTTTGTTAAGTTACTGCTATTGATAACAAGGTTCAAGCTATTATTAATTTTTCAAATTTTATTTTCAGGTTGATGAAGAGGATGGATCTGCTGGCCTCATCTGTTGATAGTCAAAAAATGTTGAAAAGGAGAAAAATGAAAAATAAAATTTGCCTCACAAATCCTTACTCTATATCTGTAAACATGCTGAAAGCACTGAATTACTACTCACATCTATCTAGTCTCGGACTTCAGAATGCATCGGTCAAAATGTCGCCTGCTACTAATACTACTTCGTCTTCTTCATCGTCATCGCTATCCATTGATACGTCATCGTCATCATCTTCTTCTACTAACATTTCATCGTCATCATCTTCTTCTTCATCGTCAACGCCGTCTAGATCATCAGCAGAGTTTGATTTGGCCAATAGGAAAACTATCTTATCCCCCACTAGAACGGTGATAACGGAGTTTATTTATAATTTGTTGACATTTTTAATTGCCCAATTTTTAATTATTATAGTTGCCTTATTGTATTTTATTCAAAATTATCTTTAAATTATCTTCGTTCAGACGACAGAGATCCCAAAAGAACTGACCATGCTAGCCGATGCTTACGAAAGCGAATATTTGTGTTGCAGGTGTGTAGGTGTCTTACAAGCGAGGTCAAACAGAATCCAAATATCAAAATTATTCCTCCATTTAAATTATCATTTTATAAAATCTTGAATCTAATTTGATTAATTACCGTTGTTTTTATTATTATCATTGTTATCGAAAGTAACGATGTATAATAATTTCATCAAATAATTGAGTGACGACGATTAAACTTATATGTCTTTTATGTAGAAAAATGCCAAAAAATGGCGGAAACTCAAGCACCATCTACCGCTTATCATCTGTCATCGTTCATTACGGAGACGTGTCGTCTGGTCATTTCGTAGCCTACCGAAGATCGCCTACCAGATTTGGGGTTCGATTTCCTGACAGGTAAGTTAGGCAGAGATCTCTTTATTCTAGCATGGTCAGTACGAGACAGCAGCAGTCGAGTTTAATTATTTCGATCATCAATATCTTTTATAGTTATGTTAAATTATATTATATTATGATATAAAATAATTCAATATTTCTATAATTTAATATTCGCCAAGTAGATGGGTATACACGTCAGACATGTATGTGAGAGAGTGTTCTACGGAGGAAGTCTTTTCATCAGCCCCATACATGCTGATGTACGAGAGGTTGTGATCGGGCCCCATTTGAAAATTAGTGGAATGGATGAGTGAATGAACGAATGAATCAATCAATCAAATTAATTAATTTATATAATGAGGTTGGAATGAATGAAAGGTTACTTGAATGGGTGAGTGTCTGGTGAAATCTCTTAACCGATACTAAACGTTTTAAGATTGCCTAATTTTTTAAACATTTATTATTGAGAAGTTACAGCTATCGAGTTTAATCATTTAGAAAAATTCTTGTACTTCGTGACAATTATCGTTTTTATGAATTACCCGGAGAGTATATTTTTATTATAATTCTGAAACGAACAACAAAAAGCAATTAGCAACTCTTCAAAATAAACTAAAATGATCGGTCGGTCATTTTGTTTTTAAATACGTTTAGATATTTTAATATCTTAATCAAGTTATTCATTTTAAAATCAGAACAAGTAAGAAACCGCAACGAAAATCACGGAAACAAAAAAAATCATTTTAAGTTATAAAATTAATGACGTTAAAAGAAAGAAAAACGGAAAGAATTAAATCTTGTGACGCAAAAACGCGGAAAAACTGCAGTCAATCAATTCATTTAACGTTTTGATAGTATGTATTGATCTATTTTTAATATAGGAATTGTAACCATAACAGTTGTTTTGTATGTGTTTGTATGTATGTGTGTTTGTATGTATCCATGAATGGTTTTTAATTGTCGTATAGGTCATCTGCCCACCCAGTAAGCTGCAAGCCCTGTAGAGATAAATAAGCTTTTTAGTGCTATTTATTATTTCGTAATTAATACAGTTTTTATTCTGCGATTATTTAATAATTATAATAATATTTGATATATAGGTGAATTGTAATGACAGGATAAAAATTGAAATAAAAAGTATTTTTAAATGTAAAAAAGTAAATTTGCTTCGAGTTTTAGCTCAAACCTGCTCCATTTTATGTTCAGGGATGTGCTTGAAAAGAGCCTCTAGGTCATTCTCCTCATCACATCCAATTTGACTTTCATCGTTAAATCCTTTCAATGTCGTCGACGATGGGATATTTACTGAGTTGACGTCATCAAACGTGATGTCACTGATGTTGTTGTTGTCAGCGTCGAAGTTCATTGATGTAGTTGCCTTGCTGTTGTCGTTAGTAGAGTTGTGTTGGATGATGTTTTCGTCGTGACTGGCGTTGGTGTCGGTAGTTAAATCATTAGTGATGTTGATGTTCTTGATGTATACATTATTTTCAGTCGTAACGTTGCCGTTAATGTCATCAGCATTCGGATCAAGTTCAAATTTTCTTCTCACCGGCAAGATTTCATCATTACGATTAGACACTTTGAATCTACTGAACTTATCACTTTGGAGCATTGATGTGCTGTATGTTGTGGCTTCTGTGTTAAATGATGATGGTGAAACTGATAATGTTGGCTGTTGTTGATGTTGTACACCATCATGGCCGTCATCATTTGCCATGTTTGTGTGAATGTTAGCTTGTTCGTGCACAGTTTTTTCAATATTTTCGTTACTCTCAGATATTGATTTCCCACTAACATAATCATCATCAATAATAATATCGTCGTCGTCATTATCTTCATCTGTCTGTGGATGATTTCCAGTGAACTGCTTGATATAATCTTCCATCATCTGCTCTCTCATCTTGTTCATCTCGGACAGCTGCAAAGTACGGGTATAGCTCGTAACTTCGATACTACATGCTGAAACTTTCCTGATGATAGAGCAAGGTACGGTTGATGTTGTTGATGGTGATGACGATGCTGATGATAGGAATGAAGATTCAGTTTGGTTGAATTCACCATCGGCGTTGTTATTGCCATGGGGCCTTTTGCCAGAGGTGTATGGGTTTTCACTGAGGGTTGATGACTCATCATATGTCATTATTGAATCGTCGTCGTCATCGTCTTGTTTCTTATTACAATTATATTTATCTGCATGGTCATCATCATGATCTTGAATCTTTTCATCACGGTCGTTAGCAGCGTTATCGTCATTTTTATTACAATTTTCACCGTTAAATAAATGATTGTTGGCAGTTGAAATGACGTCATTGTGATCTTGCCTGGCAATGGTTTGAGAACATTTCGATATCTTCTTGAGGATTCCTCTAATAATGTTGGTTGGCTTGCATTTGGACGATTTGTTTACAACTACTGATTTCTCATTATTAGCACACTCTCCGTTCTTGTCTTTAATCACATTAACGTCATCACAGCCACACTTGTCTTCGTAATTCTCATCCTTATCATTGCTATAAATGGAGATGTCGTCGTCGTCCTCACCATCATCATTAACTTCACATGGTAATATCTGATCGCGTGATCTCGTCCTGCCAAGGCTTATCAGGCTATCGTTGCTAGAAGCTTGTGAATGAATGTCGACAATGGTCAAACCTGAAAATGAAACTTTTCTTTTCTTACATGGAATTCCCGATTCTGAGACGTCGTTTCTATTTATATCTGGCGCATTTTTATCAGTTGAGTTATTGGCACTCTGCTGGTTGTCAGTTGATGTAATGCCGTTTGGGTTACATGTCGGCCTAAGTGAATTAGGTGACCTTTTGGGGTTGTTCTTTTTCATGCTAGTAATAGAATTATCGCTCGTACCATTATCCTGTATCGTAACATTTTGATAATTATTATTATTATTGTATCTACTGACCAATTCGTTGTTATCATCGCTGTCAGACCTCTGGGATAGGGGTATGTATTTGCTGACGAAGTAATGGAATGACGAGGATTTTGTTTTTATAATTTCTCGTTGCTGATGGCCTAGTTGTTTCTGTCCAGGTAATTTATTATATTTTTTCTTTTTAACATTATTACTGTTGATAATATTAATATCTTGCTCTTTAGTGCCTTCTGGTTCTTTCGTAGAAGCATTGATATTATTATTACTATTGTTATTATTATTACTATTGTTATTATTATTACTATTGTTATTGTTATTGACGTCATTACTGATGTTGTTGTAGTTACTATCGTCAATAACTTTTACTATTACGTCATTATTGTTATTAATGTCATTTATGTTGTTAATCTTAGGTAAATTGTTGTTATTATTGTTGCTAGTTTGTACGTAATTATCGTTAATGCTATTTGGAATGATGTTGATGTGATCGTTGATGTTATCGGAAACATCAACTGTCTTTCTCAAGCCAGTAAGATGAAATACTGAACACCTGATATGCTTAACTTGCTTCTGGAGAGTTTCGTCCATCACTTCGTCATCTTCATCCAGATTTAATCTCTTGCTATTATCATCTTCATCGTCACATCTATCAACATCACCTTTATTCACTCCAGATACATTTTTAGAATTGTCATTCTTTTCAATTATTTCTTCTGCTTTATAAATTTCATCGTTAGTATTAGTATCAATCACAGATGCAGTAGTAGTAGCAGTAGTAGTAGTAGTGGCAGCAGTAGTAGTAGTGGCAGCAGCAGCAGTAGTAGCAACCGCAAGAGCCTTAGAACTAAATACTTCATTGTCATCATTTTTACTAGCATTACTTTCGCCAGCATTGGTTGTAGTATTAGTAGTATCAGTATTAATTGAAAAAGCAATATCATTAGTAACAGCAGTAGTAGTAATTGTATCAAAGTTATCAGTTGTAAGATTATTATCGTTAGCAATAGTAGTCACAGTTGCAACAAGAGAAGTAGAAGAAGTTACGTTAGTAACTGCAGTCTCATCAATAGCAGTGGTTGTGGTTGAAGCATTAACAATACTATTAGTAGCAGAAGTGGTAGCATTAGTAGTAGGAGAAGTAAAATTTTTAATTATGACATTATCAGTTGTTTCAGCATCCGAAACGTTTACTTCGCCCCCATCACATGCCTCATCTGCAGTCAATAGCATCAGGCAGTGTTTCTTCAGATCATCTTTAGTGATGTCCTTCGCTGTTTTTGTCACCATGCACAATCTGAATGATGATTTGAGGTTAGGGTTGTTGATGGTTTGAGGTTTTATGCTGTTATTTTCAGTGTTGCTACTGAGGACTTTGTTGTCACAAACAGTTTCTACATCTTCGTCATCAGTGTTGTTTTTGTAGTTGCTGCTCTTGTTGTTAATACATTCTATTTCATTATCATCGTCTTTATCAGCGTTATCATTCAGCTGTTTATGATGATCGTTAATATCGTCTGTGTTATTACAACCCCGATCAACCTCCATTTTAATATCACGGCAGCTTTTATCGTCCCTATCATTTTTAACATTCGTGCTAACATTGCTACAAACGACATCATTCAGTTCATCAGTCATCATTATTTCTATATCATCATTAACAGCCGACACAACATGAGTATTAGTAAATGTATGGTTATCATTATTATCATTGGCATTATCATCATGAGGGTTAAGGTTATCATCGCTTTTATTATTATTATTACCAGATAGTTCTAAATCTGCTTTTATGTTCTCCATTCTCTTTAATTTTTCATTTGTTTTACTTGTTATATTTTTTCGTTTTTTATTTTTCTTGCTTTTCTTCACTAATTCTTCATCAGTCTTACTAGCTGAAGACGGTGGTGGTGATTTCAATTTAGGATGATCGTCGTTATTGTCATGATTTTCATCATCAACAAGTGAATAAACAGCCCTTTTAATGTTGGTCTTTCCGGATGGTTTCTTTGACTTCTTCTGCTTTTTATTTTTATTGCCATTTGAAATGAACGGCATCTCAAATCTAGAATCGTTATATTCGCTTCCATGTTCAATTGGTAATGAAGTTGGCGCTTCAGGTGAGTTTGTTGAAGTTTTGTTATTTTCCAATAAATCATTTCTGTTGCTGCAAGTATCAACCAAGTCTTCATCACCAACATTCTCCAAACCTGTTGATACTATAGCATTATTATCACTGCATTCGTTGGTTTTTTTGTTATGATCAACAACTGAGTTTGAAATTGTCTCAATATTGACTGATTTGTCATTGCTATTTTCGATCAAATTATCATCAACGGTCATATCAAAGTCTAATGATACTATATCATCGCCAGAACCGCTGATCATATCCGGGTCCTTTAATACAATATCCTCAACTTTGTAATAATTGACAGTGGTTTCATTGGTTTGGCTTATGAAGTAATTAACTTTATCACTAAGTTCGAGTTTGTCATGTTCTTGGCCATCATGTTTCACATCAGTAGAGATTTCATCAGGTTTTGAAGTTTTTCTTGCCCCATCGTCATCATTTTCCAAGTTAATTTTGGTTTCTTTATTTGCAACGACAATTTTCTTCATTGCTTTCCTTTTAACTGATGTTTTTCTACGTTTCCCTTTCTTGTTTTTATTCTTTTTACATTCCAAAGTACTGGCGTTGCTACCAATTTTCGAATCTGATTTGATTATAGAATCATTAAATACAACATCATGTTTATCACGGACGTCATCATACATTGTTTTGTTCTTGTCGTCATCAGTTTCATCAGTAACTTTACCAGCATCATTAAAAACTGATTCAATACATTCATTAACGACATTTGGTGATTTTGTTACAGATTTTTCATTGATCGTATGCAAAGTTTTTTGATAACTTTTTGTTATATCTTCCAGCAAAACTACCGCTGCTTGGTTTGAATCGTCGTCACAAATGTTTTTCTTCAACTCTTCATTGCTTTTTAGATTTATGTTAATCTCGCCAGCACTTTCATTTTTGTCATTCTGTGTTAATGAGTTTTTATTTTCAGACAGTGTTACTAAATTATCAAGAGGTAAATAATTAAGTGTTTTAGAGCCAAGTCTTGAGTTTAGAATGTTCCTGCTAAGAGTTGAAGCTATGCACTCATTTTCTATAATATTTTTTAAACTTTCACATGAAACTTCGTAATTTTCTTCACCTTGATCATCATTAGTTAATTCACTTACTAATTTATCCTTATTTATATCAGATTGACTATTATTTGTAGGTTTCTTATCGACCGAATTATCATCATCATTATTATTATCCCCACAAATAATATTATTAAAATTATTATTATTATCGTTATTCTTAGTTTGTTCATTAGTTTCAGTAACAAGAGCATCCTCTGCCGCATTTGCATCACCAAGAAGTCTCGTCTGGAAGTTGAACAGGGCTCTTTTTGCTTTTTTATTTTTCAATTTGAAATTATTATTATTATCAATATATCTATCAATATTACAATTAATATTATTCTCATTGTTCATGCTCTTTGATGTGTCGTTATTTTCATTTGAATTTGTTTCCAACTCCTTAGATTTACAAATTTCTTTCAGATTGAAATCATTTGAGAAATTATTTTTTGGACCGGAATTTTCGCTAGTTGGAGTTGGATTGGCAGTTACTTCGTCACTAGGTGTAGTTTTGCCATCCACTTTCTGCTCTTTGTCAAAAATATTTTTATCTATCTTGAACAATTTGGCACTAGTGACACAATTTTTACAAAAGGTTTTTTCATTGCACATATTTGCAGATGTAGATGGTTCTAACAAATTATTATCTTCATCATCCATGAATACATTTCTTCTCAAATATGATTTCTTACGACTTTTGATCACATCATCAAATATTTTATCATTAAATGTAGCAGTATCACTTGTAGTAACAATATTACAAAAATCTTTAGCAACATCATCATTGTTATCATCAATGATATCATCAAACTTGCCATTATCTGCAGTAACATCAAATTCAATTTCAGGTACAGTTTCAACATTTTTAGGATTATTCAAACAGACATCATCACCTTTAACTAGATCATAAGAAAAATAAGTTTCACTCATAAAAACATCATTAATGTTATTGCTGTTAGATGATTTAGTTTTGGTAGGGGTGCAACTTGGTACCACAGCATCAATGCTAGAACTGTTCATGTCTTGTCTGTCTCTAAGTTTTGACCTGGTTGGATTATCTTCATTTTTGTAAATTGAACAGTTTTCCTTTGGTAAATAACTTAGAACATCATTCTTAAAGCCGTCATAAATAAGAAGTTTAGGTGTTCTTAATTTAAAAAATTTGTTATTCAAGGTTGATTTGGGATCAGATGTATTGAGACTGGATTTTTCATAAATCGATTTTGATGGTCTGATTGTTGTTAGATCTAACTTTCTTTTTGAAGAATTATTTTTAGCACTAGCTTTCAAAGGTGTTGAATATTTTCTAGCAACTCTGGATATATTTTCGTAATTACTGTTATATCTTGATATTCTAAAGTAATCACGAAATCTAGAGCAAACAGGATTGTCTTCATCTTCTTTTAAATCATAAATTTTGAGTTTACTTTCATTTAAATTATTTGAACTTTTAATATAACTAGACTTCATGTTATTGTTGTTTCTAGTTTTGAAAAATTTATTTCCAGGTTTGTGTTTTGGAGTATGAGAAAATATTTCTCTTGATTTCAAAGCAGAATATGCTTTGATCATTAAATTATTTCTAGCATTAGAATCTACATATTTCTTTCCTGAATCTTGCATCACTTTGATGTTTCTCAGGGACTTATTATTATTGTCACTGAAACAAAATATTAGTAGAAAGTAAACTATTTAACAATGCCATATAAAAGAAAAATGATTATCCTTTATTTTCTAAGTTGTACATTATAAAAATATAAATAGTTAAATTACAAATGAAACAAACAAAATTTAAAATAACAAAAGCGGAACCGACAACAGGCCCATTTAAAACCAAAATGTAATTTATTAAAAAAAAATATTAAAAAACGAAAAACCGAACCTTAACTTTGAAGAGTGCAACGCCATCACCATGGATTCCCAGTTGGCAGAGGCCCTTCTTCGTATTTGTTCATTTGTTAGAAATGAGAAAACTCTCTTCAATTTAATAATTTCAAATTGTATAAACTGTCGCTTTACTTCGAGCATTTTGACGGTCCGGACTAAATTAAGCGATAGAAAGAAAGAATATCTCAACAATAAAACGCATCAGAAAGCAGACGAGAAGTTCATTTTTAATTTGTGTAGCCATCCATGCCCAAGAATATTTTTTAATTTTTCTGTATTTAAAAATAGATTACAGACATATATATGTAAAATAAAAAAGCCGAAGGTTGGCTTAGTAGGATTGAACTATAGTCACCCTTTTTTTACACTATTCGATCATGTTAAAAATTTGTTTGCTCATAAAATAAACGGCCTAAATAGATCAAAATTGTTATTTGAACAACTATCTTCATTATATTCAATGAATATTTTACATTCTGCTGGTGCTCATAGAAATTATGGTTGCTGAAATCATAAGTTGGTTTACTGCAGTGGCTTACTGGGTCTCATACAACAGTGTCATGGCGGTTTTCTTTACATATAATGCTTTAAATAAGTCAATATATTCATTTCACAATTATTTTTGTCAATATAAATAAAGAAATTGCTTTTGTCTGGTAAAATACAGTGGCCAAGTAAAGCCGTACGTTGGCTTAATCGGATTTTTTTTCATATATACAATACTATGAGATCAATCAATCAATCAATCAACCAATCAATCAACCAATTAACCATTTATTCAATCAACTAATCAACCAACCAATCGACCAATCAATGAACCATATTTGAAAAATATTTGCAAGGCTTGTTCAAACTCGAACACATCTACAATTGAAATTGTTTGTACACATCTACAAACAATTTCGAGATTTTAGTAAAGAAAGAAAAACACAATAGTTGCTTTTATTAAATCAAGAAATATCCAAAAAATTATATAACCAAATTAAAAAAACTAGAAACCAGTCAACATTTAATAAATAATTAAATAAATAAATAGACATTATTAAAAAGATTGTTCAAAAAGGTAAAATTTAAGGCGACGACGAGAATATAATGTAGTTTGTTTTGTTGGTGTGGGGCTGTGAAGCGAAAACAAACACATCACAAAAAACTAGTAAAAAGTCGCAAGAATAGTAGTCAGTCACCTACCTACAATTAAATTACTCTCAGGGCCTTAGCTTACTTATAATCATTAACTCAACTCACCTACCTACAAATATGTTTTTCTACGTTTTTGGAATTTTACATGTTTTAGGTATTTTATTTTACATATTTCAGCGTTTTTATTTTACTTGAAACTTTTTAACTAATGTTAAGCCCTAGCCTACCTACGATTGTTCAACTCATCTCAATCCCTAACTTACCTATGAATAAAATTAAGTCCGGTAAAGAAAATAGAAAGTTGAAGAGAAACATAACAACGACACCGATTGAATGGATGTTGTGTATGTGTGTGTTGTATTGATGTATGTGCGTAAATGTGCGCGCGTTTACTCTCCAGAAACTTCTTATTGTCATCTTCGAATTGTCATCGGAACGATCATCATGAGACCACCATCTGAAACGTGCTGACGCCCGCCACAACCCACCTCTCATCATTCTGTAGAAAAATTTTTTTATTAGCCTAGTAATAAATGAATGTTAGAATCTTAGAAGAAAAAAATTATAAAATGAAAATAATGGCAAATAAATAAACTTCTTATTGTCATCTTCGAATTGTCATCGGAACGATCATCATGAGACTACCATCTGAAACGTGCTGACGCCCACCACAACCCACCTCTCATCATTCTGTAGACAAATTTTTTTATTAGCCTAGTAATGAATGAATGTTAGAATCTTAAAAGAAAAAAATTATAAAATGAAAATAATGGCAAATAAATAATATTTTAAAATAATAAAGAGAGTAAAATGTAAAAAAATTTACTTTCGTCCATTCGACAAAGGCAGAATGTTGAATGCCTGAGAGAGTCAAGAGTCAATGAATAAATTAATGATTCAATGATTAAAAAAATAAATTAATGGAAAAATGATTTGAAAGATTGAGTGATAAAATGAATGAATGAATGAATGAATGAATAAATCAATCAATCAATCAATCAATCAATCAATCAATGAGAAAAATTGAAAGACGAAACTACTAAACCTTAGTTCAAAAATCGTCGTTACAGTACTTCATTGCACCGACCACCATCATCTGGTCGGCACACATGATTTCATCCGAACTTCTGATTGTCAGTCGAACAGCCAACGCGCTGATTTTTCCTACACCACCATCATCATACGTAAATCATCATGAGACAACCATCTGAAACGTGCTGACTCCCACCACTGCCCACCTCTCATCATCCTGTAGACAAATTTTTTTTATTAGCGTAGTAGCAAATGAATGTTAGAATCTTAGGAGCAAAAAATTATAAAATGGAAACAATGGCAAATAAATAATATTTTAAAATAATAAAGTGATTAAAATGTAAAAAAAACTTACCGTCGTCCATTCGACAAAGGCAGAATGTTGAATGCGGTTCGGTTCTCCAAAACTGGTGCCAGTCCTCATCGAGATTGTTGTTGAAACACAGCCCGTGTTGATGGAGAAAGAGAAAATTCTCATCAGAAAGCTTAGCGGTGCCTGCATCTCAAATTGCTTAATAAAAATAATCCTATCTACCTATTCAAATACCTTAGCTAATCTATATTAAATTGTTAATGGTACGATAGTCGAAAGTCCTCCTTCATTCTCCCTCCTTGCACAGAGGCTCACCGACAGCCAGGGCACCGGATAGTAAACCATTGCCGTGCGGATAGTAGACTATTGCCGTGCGGATAGTAAACCATTTGCCGTCCGGAAGCCGTGCGGGTAGTAGACTATGGCCGTGCCGCATAGTAAATCATTACCGTGCAGATAGTAAACCATTGCCGTCCGGATAGTAAACCATTGCCGGTTCACCACTGGCCACCAAGGCTTACCTCTGACAAGAGACTTTGAAATCCAGAGTCAATCGGCTATCGTACCCTCAACTTACCTATTCATTACAATTAAGCCCTAGCTTACTTAAAATTACAAAACTCAAGAGCCCAATTCATTTAGCCAATCGGCACCCACCCCACCACCTACGTAATGCCTTGGGCTCCAACTTAGTAATAATAATATAAAACTTAAACCCTAAATCTATTAATGAGTATGTGTTACAACGTAGCCTTAACTTACCCATTCATAACATTACGGTCCTAGCTTACCTAAAATTACAAAACTCAAGAGCCCAATTCATTTAGCCAATCGGCGCCCACCCCACCACCTACGTAATGCCTTGGGCTCCAACCTAATAATAATAATGTAAAACTTATAATTAGCCTACCTATCGATACACTTACAGCGTTTTAATTAACATTACAAGATTGTTCCTAGAATTACATTATTGCCCTTAATTACCTATGAAATTAAATTACTCTCAACCTTAGTAATAATAAATTAGAATGTGTAATGAAAATAAAATTACGCTCAAAAACTAACATATGTGTTTATGTATGTATTTTTGTGTGTGTAATACGCTAACGCGTGTAATGTTGGTGCAAGAAAAAATAGAGATAAACTTACGCGCCTACCTATTCAACTACATTAGTGTTGGATACTTCCTATCTATCCTACCTACAGTTAAAATTATGCCTATCTAACCTACCTATATAGTTACTTAATGTAATTGTATGTGTATGTGTGTGCGTGTATGCATTCTTACTTAATGTTAAATTAAAGAGAAAAACAGAGAAAAAAGAATAAAACGTATCCCAGCCCGGCGTGTCTTTGCCACTGAATGAATGAATGAACGTAGCCTGACATCTTCCATGATGAACTCCTCTGGAAACTTCAACCTAAATGAATAAAATAAAAAATTTTATTTATTTTTATTTAAATGAAAGTAGAAAAACGAGCCGCGGTGAAACCCGCCAGCCGCAGCATCCTGTAACTGGCAAAAAAAGGAACCGCAAAGAAACCGTAAAACGAACCCCAGCCAGGCGTGCATTGTTTGACACTGAATGAACGAACGTAGCTGACATCACAACCATTCTGATCTTCCACGATGAACTCCTCCGGAAGCTTCAACCTGAATGAATGAACCTGAAAGTACCTAAATGAACGGACAAATCTTATTTATTTAATTAATTTAAATGAAAATAGAGAAACGCAAAGAAGCCGACCGGTCGGCAAAGAAAAGAACCTCAAAGAAAGGTATCTATATAGGATTTACGCTCTATATAACTCTATATAACTCTATATAACTCTATATAACTCTATATAACTCTATATAACTCTATATAACTCTATACAACTCTATATAACTCTATACAACTCTATATAACTCTATATAACTCTATATAACTCTATATAACTCTATATAACTCTATATAACTCTATATAACTCTATATAACTCTATATAACTCTATATAACTCTATATAACTCTATATAACTCTATATAACTCTATATAACTCTATATAACTCTATATAACTCTATATAACTCTATATAACTCTATATAACTCTATATAACCTAGCATTCTTCCACATTCAATCAATAAAAATCTCACTAAAACCTGGAACCACCGCGTACCTGTTGTATGTATGGTGTGAAACAAAACAAAAAACAAACAAAAAACAAAAAAAACACCCCAAAGTAGAGTAAAAGAATAGAAGTCCCTAACCTACCTATGTATCTAAATTACCTTATGCCCTAGCCTACCTATATAATAAATTAATTTTAATCTCACCTACCTATGTTTCATTAACTTAACTCAAGACTCATGAAGGAAGAGAAAAAAGAGTAAAACAGAACATAAAATACTACCACACAAACAAACATGATGTATGTATGTATGTATTAGCAACCGCTAAAGAACCCACCTAAAATATAAAAAATACAACATACAAACCACAGACATGCAAACTCTATATAGCTCTATATAACTCTATATAATAAAATAAATAAAAATAAATAAATTATAAAAATTAAAAAAATGAGATCAGACATACTGCTTCAAGCGAGGCAGAATGCCTGATCTGATTTTCATGTTGCCTCAGCTCCTTTTTATACTCGTTTCAACCATACATTTCCATCATTCACATCAGTAAAAAACTTATTTAATGTATGAACTACACTATTATACAGTCTTAACCACAATGCTAACCGTACTAAATTGACGTCATCGAACGAACGCCTTCAAAACTTTCTGATTGGCTGGTTGAATCTGCTATATTGCTTTTTAAACCAACATATAATCTTGTTAAATATTTGTATACATGGATTCTAGTTACTTTATATTATATTATATATATATATATACATATATATATATTATATAAATTCATTATAAAAGCAGCAGTAATCAATGCTACATATGTAGGCACGCAGTTCAAATTTTTCGGGAAGAATTCAAAATAGTTTGAGACCACACCTTGCTTAACATCCAATTCCAAGCCGAGCCAAGCCAAGCTGAGCTAATATGCGTAGATTTATAAGCGCTTTTCTATTAAAATTTTGCTCGCTTTATATATATAGTATATAAATTCATTATTGAAGCAACAGTAATCAGTGCTACATATGTGCGCACGCAGTTCAAATTTTTCTGAGAGAATTCCAAATAGTTTGAGACCACACCTTGCTTAAAATCCAATTTCAAGACGAGCCAAGCCAAGCTAAGCCAATATGCGTAGATTTATAAGCTCTTTTATATTAAACTTTTGCTCGCTTTATATACGAATATCCCAATATAACAAATTTTCCATCCTATTTTAAAAATTTTCATTGATGCTTTTTAATCAGTCAGGTCAAAATCATCATCTTCGATATCGCGGTGAAATCAAATTGAAAATTTTTTAATAATTGTTGATAAAAGTAACCTATACATATATATATATATATATATATATATATATATATATATATATATATATATATATATATATATATATATATATAGAGTAAAAAGTTTAAATTTTTCCGAGAAAATTCAAAATAATTTGAAACTACACATAACACAATTGTACAATTTGAATGTGTAAATACAATATTATAAATGTATTATAACTACGTATATATATATATATATATATATATATATATATATTTCTTTATTTAGTTTTGCCTGCGTATGATATTTGGTTAAATTTATTTGATAGGAATTGAATATAACATTCATACAGGCTGATCAACTACCATCTAGTGAAATAACTACTGTTAACATGACGTCATTTCCCCCAACGATTTCTCAACGATATACCCATCCTATTTTATAAATTTTATTTGATGTTTTTTAATTAGTCAGGTCACAATCATCATCATCATCGATATCGCAATGAAATCAAACTGAAAATTTTTTAAATTAAAAAAAAGTATCTTTATTCATTTTATGATACTATTTTGCTCAATAAGATACTGTTTGATATATATAACTAGAATAAATATAACGGCCTTCGCTCACTTTCAATGGTTGAACAAGGGGCTTATACTTTTGGAGGGGAGATGGAGGGTGATTTTTTATCGTTCGAATCAAAAGTTACGATAGTATATTTACTAATTACGGAATATTGCTTTTATTTAAAATGTTAAAATGTTATTTTTTAAAATTGTTATTCAATATGGTAATTAATTATTTTTTTTTAGTATAAATTTAAACAAATAAAATCGACATTACCGAAAATAATTAAAAGTTGCAAAAACTGAGATTCTTTGCATATCCCTGCTTCAACCCATAAGAAAGTGTTGTTTAATGGTAAATAGTCCTCCCCTTGTGGTTATCCTATAAATATTCTGTATATATGATTATAGACATTTATTAAAATGATGAAACCGTGAATATATATATATATATATATATATATATATATATATATATATATATACACATATATAGTATTCATTACTATTGATCTGGTCGTTTTGGAATTATGTAACCGACTAATATTAAACATTTTATTGAAAAATTGTAAGACCACAGCAGTGAAAATCAAATTTCAGAGGATAAAAACTTTAAATGTCATCATTCATAATCATATCATCAGCTGTCTGTCGGTTGTGTTCGACGACAGAACCACGAGTTGCAAAGTCACTCAAACTGTTAGTTCTATCTCTAAAAGTTACTGCAGAAAAGGCTTTTTGTACTCTAGCTGTCTTTTTATGTCTAAAATCAGGTTCAGAGCCACCATTGTTCTTCTTTGTTCGTGACCGTTTCTTGTGACGATGTTTCATTAGAGGTTCAGAAACTGTTACCCTAGGATCAATTCTCGGATGTGTAAGTTCTTCAATAGTGTCCAATGTTGGCCCTGCGATTAAAAATAAAAGGATCGTTTTAATACTTCATATAAGAAAGAAAATATGGTGGTTAATGAAAGTATTGTTAGTTAAGACTTTATATTTTATTACCATCTCCTTGACCAACATCTTCATCATCCTCATCTTGGACGTAGTATATTATGAAGATGATACAATCCTGAGCTATTCTTATCAACATACAGACCCATATTACCATAAGAACAGGAATTACTATGTTTCGCAAAAATGAAAAATCTGTTGATTTCATGCATTGATAAGGTATGTTAGTTTGAGTGTATTGTGATTTAGAAAGAAAACCAACCTTCTATTGTTTGTAAAATATCGTTGTAGTAACCTTTTATCATTATTAACGACTAACTGTTTGATCATTTTCATTTATATTCATGATTTTGTAAAAGGTATTTCAGTGTTAAAAGGTTTTTTTTTAAGTAGTTTAGTTTCTAAAAAGTTATTTTTTAGCTACATTTATTTAGTATATGTACAGTACAGCCGAAGCTAATACTAACTACATTTATTTGATACACATTATGTTGTTGCTATATTTATATTTATTAATGACGTTATGGGTTAATTTAAAAAGTTTTTTCGCTTTACAAAAAAATTAATATTCTATTTATTTGGGTGGTGATAATAGGTAGTTATTTTTCGATTATTTGAAATAAAACTTTAAAAATGGCTGCCCGTAGCGGTGGTTAGTGTTTATTTCTAGATCTGGAAGTAGCAAATAATTTTGAAATAGTACTTTTGATTATTTAATTTTTTATTTACACATTTTTTTGTGTCATTCGTGAAGGTGACTTTGTTAATCATAGATTGGTAGATAAATTTTTTCGTCCTCTCTTTTTAAAATTTAAAGAAGTTTAAATTAAAAGTTCAAATTCAAAGTTTTCAGTTTTGCATTTCAAACTTCATCTCCTTGAAAATATTTATGGAAATTAATTATATATAATTAATTGATAATTTAGTAACAGCCCTTCTGAAGCAAGGATTTCATGAAGTTCCAGACTTGATGCTGTCCTTTGGATGTGCAATTACAGGTTGCTTGATAATAACTTTTAAATTTGGTAGTTTCTATGCAAATTTTAAGTTTTCACATTACACCATTTCTACAATTTTAGGATTAGTGATGTCACTGGGTGTTGCATACAAGATGAGAGATATGAGACCTATTCATAAATTTCATTACACTAGTATGTTTCAAATCATTTAAATGAATTTACTTATATTTTTATTTTGATAATGTTGTTTTTATAAAGTGCTAATAAGTTTGTCATAGATGTATAATAATTACATTGTGTCTAGTTGTTTAGTGAATTTTTTTTAATCCTTAATGTAATTTTGTGATACATATTCATTCTTGTGTGCTCATTAACATTTTGGTTATTTTCATTTAACTGTTAGTTATCAGAGAATCAGATGTAAAAGATAAAGAAAATTTGGGAAAAACTTACAACTAACTGATATGGTGTGATGCCGTTCGAAACAATTAATACGATTTGAATACATTTGTTCTCATTTCAGCTTTTTTTGGTTAAAAATCATTTTAAAATAAATAAGGCTGAAAAGGTTTTTAATTATTTTCATTTAACCATGGCAAAATGGCATTTCAAAACGAACATAACGTAATGCTTATGATTGAATGTTCTAATCTAATTCATCTCAAATTTAATGAAGTCATTGGAACTAAATTCTGGCTGGGAAAGCACCCTTTTCTCTTTGGTCGTCCCATCTTGAAATCTGTGACCAAAAAAATATTAATATATTCTGAAAGAATTTGCTGCAAATAATTTAATTTGAGTTTTTTTATTAAGACATACAGTTAAATTTATCTATTATTCAGATTAAATGCTTATGCTGACTAAAAATTTAAAAAACACAGGTTTATTTTATAAATATGGAAAACAAGATGAATGTTGAAACTAAATTACTAAACTGACCCATTCATTAGGGCACAAAGACTTATAAACTTTCTTGAAGTATTCACATGGTGCATAGTCCTCACCCTTTATCTTCTGACATCTATGAAAATCAACATAATTTTGCCAGCAGTTCCTGCAATCAATTTATTTTATTTTATTTTTATGAGTGGGCTGTTAAATTTGAGATTTTGAACTTCTATGTCAGCAGAGAGAACAATAATTAACTGACAAAGCCTAAGCGATATTAAGGAAAGAAGTTGAAATTTTGATCAAATTAAAATAAAAAACCTTGTTTGGTTGGCATTAGGAAAACGGGCATCAAATGGAGGGGTCCAAAATTCAATTGTCTCGGTTTCTGTGGCCATTATGACGTGAAAAGTTATCCTACGAACGATTAATTCGATAATTTACGTTGATTAAATTTATTACAATAAATATAATAAATTTAAAAAATTTTTTTTAAATTATGAAGCGAAAAAACACGATCTTTCTTAGAGGTAGCTTTAATTAGGAAAAATCATTTGACGCTAGTGAAAAAAAGTCGTTAAATAAACGGTCCTACAAACTTTAAAATATACATGAAGCAAATAATAAATAAATATTAAGTTAAAATAATAATTAAACCAGAAAAATTCACCTTCAGGACAGAAAAGCAAACAAGGTCTTTCTACTCGATTGAACAAAGTAAGTTTAATTTTTATTTCATTTGCTTAAGGTACTTAGATAATGACATTAGAAACTTTTCTGAAATTTTTTTTGTTAAATTTAAGTACGATTTAGATAGTTTTAGTATTTTTTTATGTAACAATTAATTTATTCATTTACATGTTCAAGTGTAGTTTTACCTTTTGACCATATACTCTGTGACCATAGAGTTTTTTTCTAACGACCACATACTATAGGACCATGCGCGGCTATTAGTTGTTTTGATTTTAAATGTAAATGTTGTTTTAATCAATGTCTTCGCAACGGAATTAATTAAAATGTCTAATTTAATTTGATTTAATTTTCAAATTTGTATTTTATTTTAAATTTATTATTGATTATCAATCTTGTCGCGAGATGTCATCTGAATTAAAGTTTGGTTCGGCTGATGAAGAAATTCGGTACTGGAAAGATGAGGCCAAAAAATTTCAAGAAAGGTTGTTTCTAAATTTGGAAATTTTTATCTTTGTCCCTATGTCAAAAATTTAAAAGTTAAATTATTAAAAATTTTTTTTTAATACTTACACTGAAAATAAAATAATAAGTAACAATTAAAAATTAAATTAATACTGACAAAATTAGGCTACAAATTTTATAAATGATTAGATAACTTATTTAATTACAAAATTTGAGTATTGAACTGAATAAATTGAAATTTAATTAAAATGAAAATAGTACAACACCAAACAAACCAAACTCACTAAAGTTACAAAGCTGCATCTGAAGAGCTGAGTGATTTTCAGATGAGTAGTCGAGATTTAGAAGCTGAATTAGATTCCCAGCTTGCACAATCTGAAGCAAAGGTTAAAGAACTGAAAGCGAATTACTCAAGATCCCAGATTGAATTGGAAACCATTAGGGTATGTATGTACATATGTATGTATGTATGCTGCATATGTGTGTATGTGTGTTATATATTTGTTTGTGTTGTGTATGTATGTATAGTAAATGTGTTGTATATTTATGTATGTGTGTATATATGTGTGTGTATTGTAAAACTACACCAAATTTTATCATGTTGTAGAAACTAATTTAACAACGCCATCATTTTTCATGCTTGCATAATAAGAAATCAGGAACTTGTTTCACAATATGAATGAATGGTACATTCCAATTTTTTCTTCACTTTTCACAAGGAGAAATATGAAACCCTACAAAGAACGAGCCATCATCAGATCCAGGACCTCGAGACGAAATTAAACAAGTTAGAGACGTATAGAGACGAGCTGCAGAAATATATAAGGGAGCTGGAGCAGGCTAATGATGACCTAGAGAGGAACAAGAGGGCCACGATGGTCAGTCTGGAAGATTTCGAGACGAGACTGAACCAGGCTATCGAGAGAAATGTGCTGCTGGAGAGTGAGTTGGATGAGAAGAATAATCTCTTCATCGATAGTGTGCAGAGATTGAAAGATGAGGCCAGAGGTTTGTTGGATGGATGAATGAAGGAATGAAGGATTGTGAATTAATGAGTGAATGAATTGATATGTGAATGAATAAATGATTAATTAATTAATTAATTAATAAGATACCATAGTGAAAGTTTCCTGGATGTTATTGCAAAGAAAATGATTTCATAATCTACCCTTTCAGATTTAAGACAAGAATTGGCAGTGAGAGAGAAAAAGGAAAAAGATTCATTTCATCATCAGCAGCAGCACCACCACAACAACATCAACCTCAACTCACCAACTACATCAACATCAAAAGACTTATCGAAGGTTACTGCAAGCAACGCTGCCGTTGCTACCACCACTACCACTGCTGCTACTGCTACTACTAAGCCACCAACAACATCCACTGTTACTACACCAAATGCTGCTTGTGATGAAACAGAAATGCAGCAGCAGAAGCAACCACAGCAGCAGCAAAATGTTGAGGCAGTGTCGACACCTCCATCGTTTGGACACCAGAGTATGAAATTCAGTTTGAATGCTTCAAGTCAGTTTCTCTGCTACCATGTACATTGTACATTCATCTGTTTATAAAAATATCAAATTTATCAATTGCCATGTGTGTGTGCTTGTTTCTTGTAGGATTTTTAATTGATTGGTTGATTTATTTATTGATCATTTGGCTGATTGATATTGAAATCAAGGTTTATCATCGAATCAAAGAGTTGAAGAGAGGAAGTTAGCTAAGGATGTCAGCCAACCAATAAGCTATTTGAAATTTCATAAAGGTGATTGATTAGTTGTTTGATTGGTGATAATGGTTTCTGCTGATGACTGTTACAGTACTGCTCGTCATATACATCCCTGCATCTATATACAAATCTTCCAATCTTATATAATTATTACTGTCGTCATCATCATCATCATAATCATTCATCATTTTCGTCCATAACCCAGGAATGAAAGAATCAGACAAGAAAGCACTGCAGCTTAACCTGGTCTGTGACATACTCAGCAGGATTGGAGTGAGTTTTTCTGTTGAATGATTCATTCATTCACTCATTCATCCATTCATTCATTCAATACCTCATCCATTCACCTTTTTTGCCATTCATTCATTTATTAATTATTTAATTCTTTCATTAGATCAATATACATTTATATATTTACACATTCACTTTCCTCACTTACCTGTTCATCTATTCATTCCTTCATATCCCTTCATTAATTCATCCATCCATTCATTCATTCATTCGTTCGTTCATTCATTCACTTGTATTACTTAGTCAATGGAATCGAAGTTGCTGTCGTGCCAACCACAGCAGCAGCAGCATAAGCAAGAAAAGTATATATTTTTTTTATCTTGTATCTATGGCTGCATGACGTCATCCATCCATCTTATTATTTTTTCGCTCATTCATTCATCATGTTATTAATTAATTAAATAAATAATTGAATAATATTTATAATGGACAGTAAGCCAGTAGTCAACTCAATCAACATCAAATTCTTAAATTAAATTGCCATTCACAACAGTGTGAAAACACCAAACAGCCAGTCACAGGCCATGGTTCAAATTACGGTCTAAACGATGAACCAATCAGAAAGCTTTTTCTATAGCATTATATATGTATGATTACTATATATATATATTTGTATTCATGTGCAAGTGTAAAAATTTTCATATAGATTTTGTTACATTTATTTGTAAAATGTATTTTCACTGTTTGTATGACCATGTTAACTATTTTTAACGTAGTATGCATTACATAATAAATAATGAACAATGATGATGAGTTTATTATCGACCTGACCTGATGATAATATGGTGATAACATTTGATTGATAGAGGGTTGCTTGATGATGAAAACTTTAATCAGTCACTCTTAGGCTGTGATAAGAGTTAATTATTATCATCATTACGATTTCAGTTTTATCATTATTAATATTATCATTTATTATCAGTTATTATTATCATTGATTAATATCATTTATTATTACTACATCTGACGCTAATACAATTAACAGTGCTATTGAATTTTTGGCAAAAATGGTGATGGATAACATTAGATCTGAATATTATCTTTGAGAACATCTGCTGTACATGTATATGTGTGTACGAATGAATGTATGTATCTGCTTGTATGTATATATGTATGTATATATATGTGTAGATTATATATCTATTTGATATACATATATGCGCGTGTGTGTGTGTATGTACGTTTATAAATGTATATACTTGTATATGTTGATGCCTCGTTCTAATGAAATATAAACACATGAAATCGCATACATACACGCACACACAAATACATACATACACACACATAAGTACATACACGCACATACACAAACACACACACATAAGTACACGCACAAACATACACAAATTGATAAATATGCATACATTATTTTTCTTCATTCAAGTAAAATTGCTTTTCTGCATCAATTAAAAGTTGTATTGTACAGACATCATCCCACTTATTTGTACAAACATCATTCTACTTATTATTTTTTTTACTAAAAAGCAAGCTTTGTTTTCACTTAGTCAATTGTTTTTATTCTAATACAATGAAATGCTCCATTTACTAATATTGTATCAGTGATTAAAAAATTTTATACACAGGAGAAATAATATTAAAAAAAAATATATTTAAGTTTGGTTTATTTACTTTATGAAGTTCTATTTTGAAATATAAACAAAACAATTGAATGTTATGATATCTGCAGATAAAATTAAACAATAATTAAATGAATTATTGTTTTCAGTTTTTTTTTATCATACATTAACAAACTCCTAGATTTGAACTTTTCTAGGCTTATTTATTGGCATGATATTTAAATCTGTAACATGCCCATGCACATACACATCATTTCATATCATATTATATCACAAATCATTTTTACTAAAAAAATTTCAAAAAGCTTTTAAAAGAAGTACAGATACACCGATTGTGAAAAGTGAATAGAGGATGGCGTTCCTGAAACGTTTTTGCGTTTGCTGATTGATATCATCGTGCATCGTTTCTGACTTTCGTTTGGCTTGATGGGACTGTCTGACCGCATCACCGTAGTGCATTCTGTTGAATTCGTCAAAATCAAAATGTTGAGTCTTGCCTGTTTGGTAACCACCTCTGTTTGGGTGAGATTTGAATGGTGACCTTCTTCTACGTAAAAAATCCCTATATTCCGGATCGTCATCGTCGTATGCAGACGATTGTGAAGACGGGGTGGCGAAGGTACTTTCAGGACTGAGACCCAGACATGTCCTGTCGTAATTCCGCCTGTGTTTCACGTTGCTCAAAGTCTTGTAAGCTTCATTTAAACGCGCAAATTTGTACCTAGAATCTAACTCTGAACTCGTGTCCGGGTGATATTTTTTGGAAAGTCTGTAGTAGGCGGCCTTTATCTGGACCTGAGATGCCTTCTCAGAGATTTCTAACAGATCATAGTAGGTTTCTTTGCTATTTTTAGAAACGTAGCTTTGCTGCGAGACATTATTGAACGGATATAAAAATGTGTATCTAAACTTTTTCAAACAAACACTTTTATTACGAAAAAACAGATTCATGACGAAACGCCTGGGAACGTGGTGAAGGAAATGAGACTGAACCAATCCACAACGACCGACCTATATAACTTTATTCGCAACCTTCGATGCCAATTATACACACGTTAAAAAGAGGTTTATGTAGAATTAAAAGTGAGAAGATACAGCAAGAACGGATATAAAAATGTGTATCTAAACTTTTTCAAACAAACACTTTTATTACGAAAAAAAAGATTCAGGACGAAACGCCTGGGAACGTGGTGAAGGAAATGAGACTGAACCAATCCTCAACGACCGACCTATATAACTTTATTCGCAACCTTCGATGCCAATTATACACACGTTAAAAAGAGGTTTATGTAGAATTAAAAGTGAGAAGATACAGCAAGCCAGGATTAGACTAGTGTTTACTGTGTTTACGGATCAGCAGACACAAAAAGTAGTAAAATTTCTGAAAAACAAGCATTTAAAACAAGTAGAAAATTATATCAGTATTTGAAAAATTTGAAGCTGAAAATTATTTTTGAAACTATTTGCTTTTCATTTATTCAATGTTTTAAAAGAGCATTCCCATGTGTATTATATGTGTTTACATTTAATCGACCTAATTGTGTTTGCCTAACTCAAGCGAAACGGACGAACGAATGAATGACGGATGAAATACAAAGTTCTTTATATTTATTCAACATTAAAATAACACAACAGCAGAACACTCCTTTCAATAGAGTACTACATTTTATACTAATATTATGCCATCTGCCAGTGTCTTATACAAAATTTATATAATTATAACATGACAAAAATATAAAATGCTGGAAAATTTTTTATCTTGCATCACTTCTTTGAACTGCAAGTCAGAGGAGCTATCTAAAATAAATAAGATGAAAGAATGATTGAAAGAAAAATTGCTTTTTTCTCAATTATAAATAAAATAAAGAAAAAATTACTATTAATATTATGAGTTGTAGTTTTTTTAATTTTCAATAACTATGTTTCTGGTTTAATAATAAACTAATATTTCTTTCATCTTATTAATTTTCAATAACTATGTTTCTGGTTTAATAATAAACTAATTACATTGAAATGAACAAGTCTACTGATGAAAATGTTCTACCCCTAGCCACCAATTATGAATTATGATCGTTCATCTCCTAACACTAACAACATGAATCAACAAACTAGTACCAAAGAAGGGATGACAACATCCTTCCCAGATGAAAAATGGAGACCTCAACAAGTTTACATTCAACCTAATTTAGGTTATTTGAAAGACAAATTAGGTATTTTAAATGTTTTCCAGACAATATTTTCCTTAGCAAGCCTGATCTGTGTAATAACAAGTGGAGTTTGGCACTCAGGGCATGATAGAGATGATAGGGAGCTGTGGTGGTGGCGCTATAGACTGCTTATTTTTGTGTCTGTTTTTGCTGCCCTGGTCTCAATCAGCTCCATAATTTTTTTTATCTCTAGTTTGAATAAAGTTCTCATCATTGATTGGTCTCTATATGTTAGTGGTATTCTCATTTGAACATAATTTTTTTTAATTTAAGTCCCAGTTCATATAAATTTTATTTTTTGGTTTTATATGAGTTAATAATATTATTTAAAAACATATAATATTTTCCACAAAGAACATAGTTATGTATGCATTCATAAGCTTCATATATTTGGTTGTTGGTTCATTGGTCTTTGATTCTAATTTTGGATTCCATCACACGGCAGAGGGCAACCCACCTGCCGAATGGTCACACAAGTATATGGCTTCAGCTGTTGTAAGTTCTCTTTTCTTTTGTCTCTATTTTATCTATGCTATGCTTATTTTTTTAAATAAATTGTATGTGTTAGAATGGTGTATTCAAATCATCAATTAATGTTTTAAAATTATTGCATTTTTTCTATATTTAGTCATAGTTAGTTACTTGAGACAAGTTTTTTTCTTATAAGTTCATTTTTAACAAATTAAAAAAATCATTTCAATAATTCAACTCTAAATATTTTAAAATTGGAAACCACTCTCACGCACACACACGCACACAGACAGCCAGTTTCATATGTGTTTTACTATATGGGGGTACAGCCATCCTTGCATACCGAGCTTTCAGAAGAGAGAAACATTACCAATCCAGCCATCAACTGCATCAGAGATTTCAGCTGGTGGAAAAGAGATCTAACACAACATTTGTGGAAGGGACTTGATGAAACTACACCACTCCCACTACTTCTAATACAGCTTTTCTATTTATCTATTTATTACTTTGATCCGTTTTTTTAGTAACAATTTGTTGATTTTTGTTGTTAATGTGAAAGACATTGACATATATGAAAGTTTTTTAATGTAAATTAAGTTATTAAATGAGAGATTGTTAATTATTTATTCGAAATAGTTGTTTGGAATTCATCTATTTTCACTTGCTTTTACAACTCTTCTTTCTCTCTTTTTTATCCTTTCTGTCAAACCTTTTTTCATTAGTGTGTCTGTATTTAGCGTGTGTCTGTGTGTGTGTCGTGTGTGCGTGCGGTCGTGTGTGTGTGATCTTAATCTATCATGTTTTAGTACATTATAAATGATCTTGCTATATATATATATATACACATATATATTGATGTGATATATATATATATGTGTATATATTCATGCTATTTATGTGTTTTGGTATATTTTCATATATGTTTGTGTATGTATTTTTACCTTTTAAACATTAAATGAGTATTTTGAATGTTGTTCGTTTTGAATTATTGTGATTTTCATATACATTAAATATTGTATTGTGTTGAGCTTTATTACAGATGAATATTGTATTCTATTTTCCGTTTATTTGGTGAAGCTAACAGTTTTGAAGTTTGTAAACCTTTTATCGGCATTTAAAAAATGTAAAATTGTGAATTGATCTTGAACAAAACAGTTTCTCAGACAGAATTGCTCTCTGAAGATATGTGGCTTCATCACAAATTGTAGAAAATTAGCAGAAGTAGTTATTTTTTCATCATTTTGTCCGGCAAATAAATGTCAAGTTAGTTTAGAGGTTTGTTTATGAATATAAATTAAGGTAAGTATTAATTTTAATTAAGGAAAAGTCGTCTTGTATGGCATTTTAAAAGCAAGAATGTGCATTTGTAACTGATAGATTGATCAGGTATTAAGAGAACGCGCTGGAAAGCTCTGACTATTAGATGTACATTCACCGTCGTTTCCTGTTTAAAATAAAAATTAAGTAAAACATCGGAAAAAATTCTTTTAAATGCTAACTTTATAAACCATTAACATTTTAACAAACTCGGGATTTTAATAAACTTTTTCAATCGTTTTTTTATATTTTTCGTTTTCATTTTAGTTAGTTTTTTTGTCACTTTCTACTTTCACTCCAAAAGAATTCCAAAACTATTTTTTGATTTCTTACCATTGTTGTGTGCAGTTGTCTTAGTTTAGAGTTTTCGCTTTTGAAGATTAGGAATTGATTAGTGCAAATAATTAGTGGTACTTTATTTTATGTATAAATGGCTAAGACTTACGATTACCTTTTCAAATTATTACTAATCGGGGACTCTGGGGTTGGCAAGACGTGTGTACTGTTTCGATTTTCTGAAGATGCTTTCAACTCCACTTTCATATCAACCATCGGTTTGTCTGTTTTTTAATTTTTTTTATTATATTGTTCATTCACTTTCTACTATTTTTAACGTTTAATTGTTAGAAACATTACATTATATGAAGATGGTGTACAGTGTTTATTAAGTTTTACTAGACTTAACTAACTAAGGTTTAAAATTAAATGAAATATATATATATATAAATAAAATAAATGTTTTCCTACCAATAAATCTCTATAGCCTATATATCTACAAATTTTGACATTTTTTTTAAAATAATAAATTTTTTTATATTTCACTAATTTTGTTTGATACTTTTTATTCCAAGGCATTGATTTCAAAATCCGAACAATAGAGCTAGATGGTAAGAAGATTAAACTACAAATATGGTTAGTCAACATCTTGTCAATATTTTTTTTATTGTTTTTGTTGTATTGTTATTCAAACTTTCTTTATAAAGAAACAAACAAACATATTAATATTAGTATTACATATGTATATGACTAAACACAAACATACGCACATACAACTGAACATATACAATATACACATATATAATCTTAGGGACACAGCAGGGCAAGAAAGATTTCGAACAATAACAACTGCATATTACAGAGGAGCCATGGTGAATTTCAAAATCCATTCATTCATTCATTCATCCACCTATCTACTAATCTATTCTTTTATTCATTCATCTATCAATTTATTCATTCATTCACTCACTAATCTATCAATCCATACATACATTCATTCATTCACACACACACACACACACACACACACACACACACACACACACATGAATAAGTTTTTACTGTATGTTTGCATACACAGGGTATAATGCTAGTCTATGACATAACGAATGAAAAATCTTTTGCAAATATAAAAAACTGGATAAGAAATATTGAGGAAGTTAGTTGAATTTTTACTTATTATGTTTCTATAATTTTCTGAAATCATTTTACATGATAATGCCATTAGGATGATGATGGTAAATTATGATTCTATAATTTGCTGAAGTAATTTTATACTATTATTATTACTACTACTACTACTACATAATTATGCCAGTTATATGTTATAATAAAATAATAATATTTTGAAATAATAATTAATAGAATAATTATTAAATAATAATTTTATCACAGCATGCAACGTCCGACGTAGAAAAGATGATACTCGCAAACAAATGTGATATGGTCGAGAGGAGGCAGGTCACCAAAGAACAAGGACAGGCTGTTAGTTTTTTTTCTTTGTTATTATATCTTTGTAAACAACTTTCACATCTTTGCAAATAACTTTTTTATCTTTGTTAGACAGCTGTTGGATAGAAAAAATTCACTTGAATAATTAAAAATTAAAGTGTTTAATAATTTATCTTCGTAATATTGCTCCTTTAGAATATTAAGATGACTTTGTTATTAATTAATTATTATAATTAAGATAATTATGCTCTACTACTGAAACACTTAATTAATTAATTGATTGATTAATTAATTAAAGTTGGCCTTGGAGAATGGAGTCAAGTTCATGGAGACCAGCGCCAAGGCTAGCATAAATGTAGAGGAGGCTTTTATAACATTAGCCAGGGATATAAAGATTAAAATGGATAAGAAATTGGTTTGTCGTTTCTATCCTTTGATGTGTATATATATATATATATATATTTACAATATTCTATAAATTCTACCGAATGTTTGGCGTTAATATGTTTGTAGTTCGTTTTTTTGATTTTTCTCACTAAAGTTTTTTGGTGAACGTTTAGTTTATTAAAATTCAAAATAAACTTATTTTTCGAATTCATGCTGCAAATAAGGCCATATTTCGATTCCGAATGAATCATCGTCAGTGCTCCTTGTTGTATATATAGGGAAATATTGACTTTGTCAAGATAAACTTTGACGTTGTAAAAATTAACTTTGGTGTTGTAAAATTGAACTTTGATGCGAATTAGGTGTCAGGTTTCTTAATTGGCTGGTCATCTTCTTTGGTCTCCTTTTCTTCATCGATAGCATCATATTCTTCTTTGTCACTATTTACGATGCTAGTTTTTATTACTTCTTTGTTTTCGTTGTTGGTTAAGCGCCGGGTTGGAAGTGAGGTTGTCATTTTTTGTTGTATATTTATTTTTGGTTTATTGATGTCGATTAGGACTGCTTCTGCAATTTTAAGATGCGTGTAGTTGCTGTTCTGGTATATTACTTTGGTGTTGCTGTCGAGGATTTCACGGCTAATTGTGATTGAGTGTGTTGAGTCCAAATGAGATTTGATAGCACCACTCTGTTTATGCATCGTAAGCCTTCTAGTCAGTGAGGTAGTAGTAATCCCGATATATGAGTCATGTTGACGTGCTGTAGAATAAGTTTATTTTGAATTTTAATAAACTAAACGTTCACCAAAAAACTTTAGTGAGAAAAATCGAAAAACGAACTACAAACATATTAACGCCAAACATTCGGTAGAATTTATAGAATATTGTAAAAGTTATGGTCTATTACCAACATATATATATATATATATATATATATATATATATATATATATATATATATATATATATATATATGATCTTTGGTTTATTTATATATATTTATATGATCTTTGGTTTTTTTGAAACATATATATATATATATATATATATATATATATATATATATATATATATATGATCTTTGGTTTATTTATATATATTTATATGATCTTTGGTTTTTTTTTGAAACAGGAAGCCAACAGTCCAGCTATGAGGTCAAAAGGTCAAGTACTGAAGAATGATGCTCCCAAAAAATCTAAAGGATGGCGGTGTTCCATACTATGATGATAATGATGATTGTGATGATGATGGTTGTGATGATGATGATGATTGTGATGATGATGATAATTGTGATGAAGGTTTTTTGTTGATGATGAATGTAACATGAAATTGTTATTTGGCTGATGGTGGTTTTATTATTATCTAGTGATGACGAAGATGATGACGATGGTGGTGATGCATTTTCACATTGTAAATTGAGCTCTCTCAGTTTGTGCTGCTCATGCTAGAGATAAAGTATTATGATGGTGGGCGTATTCTATGTAACGTGACATGACGACAGTTTTGTATGTCATTTGTGTGAAGGCAATCTGTATTAGAAATATCATTTTTTCTTCTTTTATGATTTCACCATGCATACGTACGTATATACATACATTCATGCATTCATAAAAACATACATACATACATACATACATACATACATACATACATACATACATACATACATACATACAGCAAATAAAATCAAATTTAGTCAGACGCTTGGCTTTTGGTGTCATTCGTCAATGATTTGGTTTTAACATACATACATACACACACCCAAACAATCATAAATACAACCCCGTTAATACAATTATACGTCATGAATAAATAAATAAATACACACTGAAACTATTCCAAATTTTGATTTAATACCTATAAGGATAGTAACAATGACAAAAGTAATTATCGTAATTTCAATAAACAGTTAATGTAATGGATTGAATGATTCTTCTCATTTCATTTCTTCGCGCTCTAACACACAAATACACGCCAACATAGAAACACATGAATTTATTTCTATATATATATTCAATTTTATTATCTATAATAATTTTACTTAAATTACTTACAAGTATCCCTCAGCAATTATTATTAATCGGCATCATCATTTAGTTGTCTACTTATAACAATCGCATATAAGATATTTATTTGCTTGCCTATCTTTTCTGCATACACACGTACGCATACACACACGTAATTTTGCACGCACACACACACACACACACACACATTAACTTTCATTTTTTTTCATTTGCCGAAATTGCGTGCATTTAGTACTGGACAGAAATGATACACGTACCGTCATAAGACATAATTATTCATTGTTAAGTTCAGTTACTATCCTTTCATTCCCGTCATTTATTCTTCATAAATATTTATTTAATTTTAAAATGTACATACACACACACACACACACACACATACATACACACATACATACATACATAATTGTCCTCTTACTTACATAATTACTTTAACTTACTCACTGGTTGTTAGCTGGGGTAGGAGTTATTAGTTTAATAATAATAATAATAGAGTAGCAGTATCAACAGTAATAATGATAAAAATTATAAGTTAAAACAATATTATTACTAGGTGTATGATATTATTATTATTATTATCATTATTGCATATAATTTCATATTTTTACTTCAGGTCAGGTGGCGTCTGTATGTGTTTTTATTTCTCATTCGCATACTCTCTCTTACACACACACATCTGCACACACACACACACACACATATATATACTATTAAAGAACAGATTTTATGTGTATATATATATGTATATATATATATATATTGGATATATATATATATATCCAATACATACATACACACAAATGCTTTTAAATGCTTTAGTTTTCATTGTTTCATCTCCATTTATAATGTTTCATTTTATATTATTATCGTTATTTAAGTTTTGAATTATTTTTTTATAAATTGTATGTGTGTGTGTGTTGGATTTTGATATTAATGATGCATGTAATTATGTATGTATGTATTGTATGTATATGTATGTATGTTTATATATATGTATGTATGTATGTATGCGTATGTACCATATATCTTGATTCAACATATATGGTATCGGGTATATACATATATTGCATACACAGGTAACAACATTTATTATTGTATATATGTATGTATGTATATATGTATGTATGTATATATGTATGTATGATCTTAAGTATAGAATTTCGATCATAGAAATATTGTGGTGACTAGAGAGTATAAATAAATAGAGAAAGAAGCAGAGGACAATGGCGATAATATTGGTGAAATGTTTTTCTCATTTATAAGTACCCGATAGAGTTTTCAAATCTTTAAAACAATTTACAAATTATTGCATTTAAATAAAATTCCATTTAACAAAGCAGAAAGACAGATAGATGGACGGATGGATAGATAGATAGATAGGTAGGTAGGTAGGTAGATAAAGAGATTTATAAATTATGAAAAGCATTAACATGAAGATACATACTTTCGAATAAATTATGATAAACATTCACATGGACAAACATACTTTCGAATAAATTATGATAATGAAATAGTTTAAATATGGCTGACACCCGTCACATGACGTGGTCAAACGTGTATACACTGTTGACACTGAATGAATGAATGGATGGATGGATATAAAGCCAGCAAATATGATAAGGAACTAAAAAACTCTATCCACAATCAAAAACCTATAAATGCATATACAAGATTACAATTGTGATGGTAATGTTGAAAATAAATGCTATAAATTTTCACAAGAAATTTTTTAATAAGAGAGAGAAAGAGAAGTAGTGATAAAAAAATTCTATAAACAAGTACGAATGAGTGAACGAACGAAAGAATGAATAAATATTACCAGATGCAATACGAATGTAACGTTCTAATAGCTATAATCCACAGTTTCCTCCAGTTTTGTCAAGAGCATAATATTAAAATGCTTTGAAACGAAGTAACAAATATATAAACACACGCACATTCACACGCACACTTACACATACATACGTACACTCACACACACACAACATACATACACGTAGGTACAGGTACACAAACATAGGGCAAACTAAAAACAGCCATTAACTATTATAAAAGTTGAACAACTAAAAGACTCTCCATCCACAATAATAAAACCTATAAATACATATACAAAAACGCGTGTACACACACGCACATACATGTACATTCAAACATTTATGTAGCGTATAACAATAATTTTTACAGAATTTACAGAAATTTGGGATGGTGTGGTAGTTTTACACATCCTCATCTGTCGCTACTGCAACTTTGTATCTCTGAGTTCGTTTGTTTCTTAAGAAGTTGTACCAATTTTTAAGGAAGCCCTTAGTTTGTGGAAGAGATTAAAAAATTAATTAATTAATTAATCGTTAGATTAGTATTGTGAGTAAGTAAGTAATACACGAATTAATCCGTTCAAATTTGAATTCAAAGTTGATTTTTGGTGAATTTATGAACGTGTATGAGTTGGCAATGTTGGAAAATTCATTCATAAAAATTTAAAATGCAACAACATTCAAAAACTATTATCAGTAGTAAAATATTGTTACATCCGAAAAACGACTTTCCATGCCTTACAATTTTTAAAATACATGATTCCAAAGACGAGTCTTGCAAAAAAAATTTACATTCAAAAAACGGCTTTCCATACTTTGTCGTTAGAGTTATGGAGAGCCAGAAGGCCCCAGCACTTCAGCCACCCCCTCTGCCTAGCCCTGTGGTACTCCTGGGACGTCAGGTTCTGACTGATTAGGACGAACTGCTGGACGAGTAGGCAGAGGATGAATGACAGGCCGATGCATGATAGGACCACACTGCACACGCACAGACCCGAGCTGATGAATTAGTGAATGGATGGGTGGTGAATGGAAAGAAAGAACGAATGAATAAATGGATAAATAAATGAATGGATAAAGAAAGAATAAATGGATGGATGAAGAATGAATTAAAAGATAGAATGGGTAGATAAATTAATGAATGAATGATGTGTAAATCGTTAAAAGAATTACACTGAGCTAATGAATGAACGAATCTATGAATGAATGAATGAATGAGTGAACGATTGATTGATTAAATAAATGAGACAGGAAATTAATGAATGAATGAATGTACGAATGAGTGTAAGATTGACTGATTGATAGAATAATTAAATAAGCAATTGATAAATGAATATTTACGGAAAGTCAGTGTACAGAAATCTGCAGTCAGCTGGTACAAGGAACCAATCCAGGTAAATCACAGGTGTGCAGAGGGTTGTGGTTGTTAGATGAACCCCATATACACCTTTGTGATTGATTGATTGGTTGATGGATGAACGAACGAACGAACGAACGAATGAATGAATGAACGAACGAATGATTGACTGAATGACTGTATTAACAAATGTTCAAAGTGATTGATTGGTAGGCCTGTTGACTGGATGAATGAGTGAATGAATGAAAAGGATAAATAAATGAATGATTGTTTGATTAATCAATTAATTAATTAATTAATTAATCAATTAATTAACGGTTAGATGAAAAAAATTAAAAAAACCAACCAGTAGTAAAAAACATGAAGAGGAATAAGAAGAAGGACCTATGGTTGTGCTTGCCTATGCATACATCTAGCCTATACGTAGAAGTGGGAGTATGTATTTATTTATGCATTTGTGTGTGCAGTATGTTTGTATGTACGTATGTTTCTGTATGTATGTACGTATGGATGGATGTATGTATGTATGTATCTATGTATGCATGTCTATTTATATATATAAACATTGCTGCATAAATGTCTGCTAACATACCAACACATACTCCACACACACACACACACACACACACACACACACACACACAAACATACACAACCTGACAAACAAACATACCAAATGCAATGATGGTCTCGACCGAAAATACAGCAATCACATCTCGTACAGTGGCCAGAGCGAGGCGGGCGATCAACCTTACATTGCCCACAGAATAATTGCAAATTGTCGTCTAAATTATTAACAACTATTATGAAATTATAGCTAATAATCATTTGTTATTATGAAATAATATTCATTTACAATCATATATAAAGAAAAATTACAACACTATAAACACTAACAACAATAATAAAACCTATAATAGGCCTTGAATCAATCCAGCTAACTTGTCTAACGTTTAGCTGTCGACCATCTGAGCTTAATTTTTCAGGATTTCTGTAATTTTTTCGATCGACTCTCAGTAAGTTGGAATTGTGCTTAACTTGAAACATAAGATAGAGTGTTATTAAGTATAAGGTTGCCATCAGCAAAATTTCCCATAACAAGATCTGAAATTTATTATAAGTTTACTATAATTCATATTGATTTTAATGAATTTATTACAGAGGAACTAACCTTCCGAAAGCCAACAACAACAACTATAAAGACAGCGAATAGATAAATGGATGACGATAAAGTTGTGGCGAAGAATAGCCTATTTCGCTTCCTATATCGACAGAGTCTGAATATTTTTTTATTTTTACAAAATTATTCTATTATTAGTATTATAAAAAAATAACAAATTATTTGAAAAAAAAAATTTTAAATAAAAAGTATTAATTCATTTCTTTCAAAAATTCTACAGAAAATAACAAAAAATATCATTGATTAAACATAACACACACATACACTAACCTAGAGGATATAATAAGAACAGTAAAAAAGCTTAAAAGAGAGAAAAATGTCCAGTAAGGCCCATAGGCAGCAAGGCAGAGAGTAAAGGGTAGCGTAATTGCAGGGTATGCAAGTTCAAAGTTCATTTTAATGGCCCCCCTTCCGTTACAAAATGGCAGACGAATCCTGTCCTCAATTGTTTCCACTGCCTGAATTAGTTTCTCTTCTGGCACTGGCTGACACCTGAGACAACTGTTTTGTTAGGATTAAATTTTAATTATTTAATTAAAGTTAAAATTATTTGATCAGTGAAAGGATAAATTAGTGAAAAATGGTGGACTTTATATAAAATAATATCCTATTATTTATATTTATTTATTTAGCAAATTAGATACTTAATTTGAATGAGAGCTTTATTTTATCCTATTTGTAATAAAATGAAATAGTCCCATTACTATAGTAACCAACTTAACTTACACTTACCTATCACAGAGTGAATCAATGACATCACAATCACATAGAGTTGCCATCAAATGGCTTCTTTCACCCTTAATATTGTCATACTCACAGAAACAAAGTGCATCGCTCGATCTACTGGCCTGCTTTTTCATGTTCCTACACTAATTGATCCGTTGATGTAACGATAATACGAGTTCTTCTAATAATTTCTACTTAATTTCAAAATAATAACCTGAGAAAGCCAGGTTTACGTTAACTATGGGATGAGTTTAATGTTGCGCATTCATTATAAATATTTAAAAGTGCATGTAAGTGAAAAATTTGTTTTCATCAGTTCGACTATACAAAATGTAGATTTCTAAAGTTTAAGCAATATTTTTGTAATTTAATACAATTTTTTAGTTGATTATTAATTAAAAATGTTCAGTTTAATAAATATATTGTGTGATAATCTCATTAATTGTACATTTGATGATATTTTACGCACTACATTAAGATTTTTAATAAAATAAATTTTTTTAAATGCAAATTATTAATTAAATTGTAATAATAACAAGAGAGTTTTGCTGAAAAAAATAATTTTTTTTAAATAAAGTAAAATATTCTCTTTCCATAATAACACAAGCTTTGTATCATTTTCCTAAGCATTGTTATTATCAATTTCTTTATTCTAAAAGATAAGTTGTTTACGATTTAAATCTATTTTTTGCAAATTTTAGGAATTTTTTTACGCTAACAATGGCCACAGACTCTCCGAGAAAAGGAAACAAATCAACTAGGTTAATTATAAGGCCCCAACCGATAAGGTAAATTAATCTTTTTGCGATTTTTTAAAAAAGAACAAACAGCTGATGTTGAATTTTGATGTTTTTCTTTTTTACAAAAGTTTTTTTTTCGACTTTTTAAATTTTTATTAAAAATTTGTTTAAAATATTTATCTTAAAATTATTAACCGTCGCAGTGATAAATCAGTCATGGAAAGTGTGGTTGACTTCTTTCAAGATTTCGTGAGTTTCAACATTTTTCAAGTAACATTACAAATATTACATGATTATCTTTTTCAATTTTAATATTTTGTTATTTATTAATTTATCATTAATATTAAATTAAAGGAAGTAAGGCTACATGCATCCAATTATAAATTTTGATGAATTTAACAGACTGTGTCTGAAAATACCCCAATAATTTATTTTTAAGACTCTGACAAAAGCACCAGTTGACAAAGAAAAAGTGTTATGGGTTCAGTTTGAAAATTTTCCATTCTCTGGTTTGTAAATTTTTTTTTATATTTTTTAAGATTTTTCTTACTTTCTTGCTTATTAATTGTATTTATGTGTGTACCAGAGCTACCAAAGAAGTATAAGCAGTTTTATGGCACATATGTAGAGAATTCGGTACCTTTGATTTTGGTAGTGGGATACACAAATGGAGTCCATGTTTGGCTCATCATGGTTAGCAACATCTATCTTTTTTCAAATTCAAATTTTTCTAAATTAAAAAATATTGTTTTGATGTTTATAGGAAGGAGGTGAGGCCCAAGAAGTGATATCGTTAAGGCAGGGACCCGTAAGGAACCTTAAATTTCTTCCAAATCCTGCTGATGGTTCCAATCTTTTTTTTTTCAAATTAATTAGTCTATTTCTTTCATTATTTCTCATTACGTCATAATCATTGGTCTGTTCCTATTTCCTCTTGGTCTTCCATATTTTTGTCACTCTCCATACATTTAGTTTCTTTGTAATCTCTCCCAACATCTAGCCACTCAGAATGACATTCAAGGCAGCAAAAGGCCCTTAATAGCACTAACAGATGCATGCAGGTTTTTATTTTCATTCATTCATCATCATCCTCCTCCTCATCATCACCATTGTTGTTGTTGCCATTATGGAGAACCAAAAACCTTAAAAAAGCAGTACTGGCCGACACTACTGCACAGTAAAATTTATATCTATGGTTACCGGGGAGGAGGTGTTTGCTGTCGAGTACGACCATCCAATTGTGGACATTAAATGTAACAATAGGTGGGTGTTTTTACTTCTATTATTATTGTATGTGTGTTTGTTTGCGTGTGTGTGTGCGTGCGTACGTGTGTGTGTGCGTGCGTGGGTTATTATCTATGCCAAAATTATTTTTCCATATTTCTCATTGTGTAGAGTAATAGCAGTAGCACTGGTTGGAAAGATATCAGTGCTGGATGCAAGAGATTTTAAGCAGAAGTTTCTTATAAAGGGTTGGTGTATGTGTTCTAATTTCAATCATTTGTTCATTCATTTGTTTGTTTATTTATCCATTCATCTGTTCATTCATTCAATCAATCATTCATTCATTCAATCAATCATTCATTCAATGAATTAAGGTATAATACGTTTGATGACGTGTTTTTTAACTTAACTACTGATTTTATACTATTTTATGATACTATTAATTTTAACTGCAAAATAATAGTAACTCAACTATGACAATGATAACTATGGAACTTGTAGTGATGATGGTGACGATGATGATGACGACATTGATGATGGCAGGGTGGTGATGATGGTAATGATGATCGAGACGTTGATGGTGATGATGATAATGATTGATTAGGCTGTTGGATATCACCTGGAATCAATCCCAACCCAATTGCTCTGGGATCGAGATGGCTTGCTTATGCTGATAAAATGGTGAATACGACGGTGATGATGATTCTGACGATGGTGAAGTTGATTGCGATCATGGTGATGATGATAATGACAATTATTCCTTCAATGAAATACCATCTCTAATGCTATCTACACACACAAACACACACGTTCATATTTACATACGTCTATTGATTTAACCTAACTTTCATTGCTTCTTCTCTTTGTGGGCATATTGTAGTTGTCCTCTGCCAACCAATCAGGAGGCGGGGTACTGGAGGAGGGCAGCCAGACGTACACTGCCACCTTCATACACGCTGCTAAGGTTAATCATGAAGATCTTATTCTACAGTTCTAGCATCTGCCATCATCATCCTCATTTTCGTCATTATGAACAGAGTTTGAAGAAAGGAATCACGGTATTGGGCGAAACACTGGCCAGCAGTGTCGTGTCTAGCCAACCAGCGGCTAACGAGCCGAAAAAAATTCCGCCCACTCAACCTCCTGGCAGCCAATCAGAGAGCAAAGCTGGGGTAATTAGCATAATAGACGTCATGGGTGTCTCTGGCAAAGAGGTTCCTTTGTATTTACTTATTTTATTATTTTTATTCATTACAATTAATAATATTTGTTATCATTATTATTATTATTCTTATTAAGGTGCTCATCAATGACGACTGGTGTGGCGATGGACTTGTTGCCCATTTTATCGCCCACGTGAATGACCCCGTGACCTCCGTGACCTTTGACCCGACAGGTCAACTACTGCTCACTACCGATTCTCAAGGAAGATTTTTTCACATCTTTAAGGTTGGGAAGTGGTGATGATGACGACGACGACGATGACGACGGTAAAACTAATTGACGTCATGTGATTTTAATTGCGTGACGTCATGATGACCTGATTTCCAGATATTAGGTCACCCGTTTGATTCCAGCCTGTCCACCGTTTATCACCTGTACATACTCAAGAGGGGTGAGACCACAGGGAAGGTTGTCGATCTGCTTGCTCACTTGTTCATACATTTATTCACTCACTCATCCATTCTTCTATTCATCTATTCAATCAATTATTCATTCATTAATCCATCCATTTATCCATCTATCCGCAGTACCATCCATTTTTCCAATCATTCATTTGCTCATTCATCCACACATCCATCCCACCTTTTCAGATCCAGTCAACGTGCTTCACGTTCGACAGTCGCTGGGTGGCGGTGACGACGGTTCACGGCACGACCCACGTCTTCCCCATCTCGTGCTACGGGGGGGGCCCTGCCACTAAACGGACCCACATGTCGCCCAGGGTCGTTTCTCAGTCCAGTCGCTTCCAACAGAGCGCAGGTCTCGATGACACCAAGGAGCATCTGAGGAGAGCAAGCGGAAGTTCTGGAGTTGGGGGGAGGGATAGCCCTGGAATTTTGATGGGGGCTGCTGCGGCCGTAGCTGCTTGTAACACTCCTAGCGCTAGTCCAGGTTCGTTGATGTTGTGTTTGTGTGTTTGCATGTTTGTGTGTTGTTTGCATGTTTGTGTGTTGTTTGCATGTTTGTGTGTTGTTTGCATGTTTGTGTGTTGTTTGCATGTTTGTTTGTTCTCTTTCGTAAATGCGCTGCAAGCAAGTCCAGACTGGTCTACTAAATAAAAGTGTTGTCGTTGAATTGTTAAAATGAGTCGCGAAAATGTTGAAAACCTCTTCATCAGCTCACAAAGCACAAGAACGACAGAAGCAGCAACAGCTGCAACTGCTGCTCAACAATTTCAACAACTCCCGCTTGGCTCCCTATCCTCAACCAATCACGATCAATCCAGCTGTACAAATCCGCCAATCATATCTCTTCATCGATCCTGGCATTGTTTCCATGTCGACAGCTAGTAACGCGGCTTCATCGTCGACGACCTTATCAACCTCGTCGACGTCTGCGTGTCGAAAAATTTCACCTGAACCAGTAAATGTGGCGTGCTGCTTTGCGACGAGCAGAGTGCTCAACATGGGCAGTCCATCAGTTTCCAGGGAGCGTTTGAATGGTTAGTCGGTTGTTGAAGATGAAGGAGATGATGTGACACGAATGTGAATGACACGCACACACGCACACAAACAAACACCGACACACACACAGAACTACAGCTGCCACCACTGGATTCCTTGTACATAACAACAAGCATGGGAGTTCTGACTGAATACATGCTGACTGTGAAGCCGAAGGCCACCACTACAGACAAGATTCCTGACGACTCCCCCATCGAGGTCCAAGCAGTGCCCAAACTGCAGTGGAGTTTATCCAGGTACGTCGTTTTTGTGCTTGCCCGGCTCTAATCATCAATGACCCGATGACATATCACACACACACTCACACACACACACACACACATACACACACACATACAAACACATAATAGATATCAGATATCTATCAATGAGTGAAGTTGTACAGTATCTATCTTTCACTCTCTCTCTCTCTCTCTCTCTCACACACACACACACGCACTCACGCACACAAACACGCAATAGATATCTATCAATGAGTGAAGTTGGTCTGCCACTGTCGCCAAGCAGTCCCTTGCTATCATGCAATCGTCTGTCGTCCGAGCCCTCAACGCCAACTGGTCAGTTGCTTGGTTGCTCGATTCTGATTGGTTGGTTGGTCTGATTGGTTTCTTGATTGATTGATTGGTCAGAAAACTGATTTGAGTCATTCAATGAATGAGAATCCTTCATAATTAAACTTTCTTTGAATTCGTTCAACAGCTCAGAGAGAAAAGCAGAAATCAAGGCCTGAATCGCTTCACCCACAGCAACGACAGAAACAACAGCAGCAGCAACATCAACAGCAGCAGCTGCTGCAGCAGCAGCAGCAACGAACGAAGTTGCACAGCATCAGTGGACCAATCCTCATGCCTGGACAGAAGAAAATTATCGAAGACTCGTGCGAAGAAGAATGGCCCTCTCAGGTTTTTTTGTTATTGTTGTTATTATTGTTATTTGTTATTGTTATTATTGTGGTTTTTGCAGGTTGAGATGGTAACACACGCTCCACCTCACCGCTATCTCTGGATGGGACCTCAGTTCACTTTTAAACCTTATGTTGAGACTTGTCCGCCGTCTTCTTTTGCAGACGACGACGTCGGTGGCGACGATGGCGGCGTCGGGGCCGATGTCTTCAACGTTCGACATCTAAGGTTCGTCTTATCTGCTGGTTTTTGTGTGCGCGTTCGTTTTACTCTAAGATAACTTCACAAGTTCACGCGTTCGTTTACACATTCTCTCATTCACTCATTCTTTCTTGCACTCATTCCCTGACTCACTTACTCATCAAAATATCTTCCAGCTCTTTACAGAAAAAATCTCAGCGGGTAAAAGTATCAGCAGCAGCAGCAGCAACCACAGTTGCTACTGTTACTACCACCTCATCACTGCAGCCGTCGTCTTCATCGTCGTCGTTAGTCCTGACGAGCAGAGCAAGAGGGAATAGTGAATCCCATCCAACTTCTTATAAAAATTATCTCGAAACTGGTTGGTGGTGATAATGATGATTGGTGGAGGTTGTGTGGTGGTGATGAGCATGAAGTGCTATGCTGTGTTTGATTCTATAGCCTAGAAAAGCATTAATGCAAAAAGTGCAATCACATATACTCACAATCAGGTAGCTATCCTGACCAGTCAGGTTTCAACACCCGATGGTTTGACACCGCCTTCTTCGGTCAACTGACCAATGAGAGTCGAGAAGCTGAGGAACGAATCAGAGCCAGTTTAGAAGAGGCCATACAAGATGAAGCCGTGGTTGGTGCCCCTTGTTCTTCTGTGGGCGGTCCTACGTTAGCCCCGCCCCCTTTACCGACCAGTTACGATAATGATGACGACGGTGACGACGATGATGTTGCAGTTGTCGGTGTTGATGATGATGTTGTTGCGTATGATGACGTCGCCTATGATGATGAGGATGAATATGAGTATGATTATTACCGGCGCAACACGAAGGACTCTGTATAAAATTAACTAACCGCACATAAATATTTGTCTGTCTGTCTCTTTGTCTGTCTGTCTGTATGTATGTCTGT